CAGCTAACATGAGGCCAAGCCCAAAATTACAATACAGCAGAATAAAATACAAAGAAGCAAAATAACATCAAAATAAAATACATGAAATAACAAAATAAAATAAACAGGTACAAAATAACATGATAGATAAATTGAACACAGTGGGCGGGCCAAATGCACTAGAATAAAATTGATGAAACCCTGGATGAGATAAGTAGTAGAAGAATGTGTTTCTGAGGGAGGAGCTCAAAAGGAACAAACAATGGGGTTAGACCTTCATTAAGGGCGGGGGGGGGGGAGTGCATCATGAGAACAGAAACTGTAGTTGGAGCAGAAAAAATATGGAATAATGTTCATACATACATAATAAAATAAACATATTTAAAACACATAAAACCTTAGACCACTATTAAAATCACGTCGAACAAGATAGTGGATTGTCATCCAGAAGTACAGACATCCTCATTGTAGTATAAGTGGTTGTCAGCTCAGTATAATGCTTTCTGGTTGCTTTAGACCAGGGACCCCCAAACTTTTAAAGCAGAGGGCCGGTTCACTGTCTCTCAGGTTGTTGGGGGGCTGGACTATATTTTGTGAAAAACATGGACAAATTCCTATGCACACTGCAGATATATTATTTGTACTGCAAAAAACATGAAAGAACAATAAAGTAGTTAAAATGATGAACAATTTTAACCAACATAAACTTGGGTTCAAGTTTCAATGGGAATGGTGGGCCTGCTTTTGGCTAATCAGATAGTCAAGTTAATTCAGGTTGTTGTTGTTGTTGTTGTTGTTGTGTGACTTGAAGTTGTTTTGGACTTAGGGTGACCCTAAGGCTAAAGTTTAGACCAGGGGCCGAGTAAATGACCTTGGAGGGCCGCATCCAGCCCACGGACCTTAGTTTGAGAACCCCTGCTTTAGACCTTTTGAGTTATAGGTTGCAATAGATTTGCTGTACTTCTAAATATTTTCTAGGTCACATTCAGGAACATCTCCAGACAGTGTTGCACCGCCGCCGCCACCACCACCAAGGCCTCATCCCTCACACTCTCGGTCATCATCTTTAGATATGAACAGGACTTTCACAATTACTCCAGGTAAATGTAGTTCATATTCTTATATGAAGATTTGATGTATATTTTTATGACTGCATATTCAGAAATGCCTACATTGTTACAATACTCAGTATAGAATTATTTATTTTGTCAAGTATATATACACCAACTTCCAGAACGATTTGTGAATTGGTTGAAATTGGCTTAGGCTATGAAAACTCATGCCATAGTAGGTTTCATGTTCAGAATGCAACAGCCCTTTTAAAACATAATTTCTTATGACAACAAGCTAACATGGCAGCATTTCAAAGGTACGCTGGAAAAGACTACTTGAAATGTTCATTTTGCAAATTTAGAAGACAATCCCACAATTTTACAGAATTTTAGGTTTTAACTTAGCATTCATGAGTTATGTAGAGTGAGATGCCAAACAATAAAAAAGTTATTCAAAGATTTTTCTAATTATGTTTTTATCAGATATTCTTCAGTTACAGTGGCACTGTAAATATCCTTATCCTAACAATTGCCCTTCCAGCAGTTATAGGAATGTTACAAAAGTGACAAAATGTTGAATGTGCAGATTGGTTGTAGAGTGGATTGGAATGTGCAGTCTCCAAGTTTTGAACAAGATAGCTTCTGTAGGTTTGTTCTTCAGTTGAATTTGTTTGTAACAGGTACATTTTAAAGTGTAACTCCAGCCAGAAATATAGTATAGGGAAGGGTTAACACCCCTGTGGTGTTTGTTTTGCTGTCTATGCTCCTGTTCAGAAGCTTCACCTTACTTTCTGTCCCTGTCATAATTGGATTTTCAAAAAATTGGCTTCTTGTGGAAACAAGGATTGGTGATAAAGCTTCACTGGAGACACCTTTTCCCCACAATTACTCAGTAGTGAATTTTCCTTCCTAGCAGTAGATTTCTCTCACTTCCTGTTGTCTCACCTCCATTCTTAACTATGAGTTGTTTGTAACTCGGGAACTATCTGAAGGTTGCTTTTACATAAGATTGCAGAGTACTCAAGATAATGTGATTGGAAATCTTCACATGATGTAATTTATAAACGGATTTCAGAGTCCAGTGGGGTAATCCAAATGCCCTGATTAGAATGGTGCTTAGTGTTTTTGTAGTTATTTCCTAAAATTCCCATTAGCTTTAGTGAAAGTTTACTTACTAATAGGCATGCATAGGATTGTTTCCTGTGTAGTCTAGATTACATGAGTTTAATCAGCAGAGCAGAGATAGGCAAGCACCGGGGTGGGAAAAACTCAAAGATCTGTTTCTTACCACTTCCCTATACTAGGAATTTCAGGCCAAAATGTGGAAAATTATATTATTTTCTCTCTTGACTTTTGGAACTCAGGTTTTTGAACTCATTGATGAACATTGTGTCTCACTCATTGTACTTTTAACATGCCAGATATTAGTCATTTCAAGCATAATTTAAGTTCCTAAAGTAATAGAATGACTTACAGTATTTAAAAGTTGGTAATAATGCAGTTTTTTCTAAAATAAAAGTTTTTCAGGGGAGAAGCAAACAGAAAGATGTCCAGTTTTTTTCACCCAATTGCCTTAGTGTTTCCAGAAATTGTAGACCTACTTTATCTCAATTTCACTGTCTTTCAGGTCAACAGCAGACTGGAGTGATTGCCTATCCCCCTGCAGTGCCTCCAAGACCTCCGCCCTCACAGGTATACTTTCTGTAGACTTCTTGTCACAATTAACAGCTTCATGGTATCTATTTATGGTGTTCTTGTCACTGTTGTGTTGCGGCCAGCAGTCCTTCTACCAAGCTTTTGCCTCCACCCTTTCCCAAGTAGTGAATAACTGCTTTGTGCCTTGCCTCTCACCCTTTTCTTTTGTAGGCTGGAGGTCATGTTCATCGTTCATCAGATGCTGAAGGTATAATAGCTCATGCCAGTACCTCACCTCAACAAATACCAGAACAGCCAAACTTTGCAGATTTTAGCCATTTTGAGGTTTTTGCAGCATCAAGTGTAAATGAAGAAGAGGATGAAGAAATTGAGAAACACCCTGAAGTTTTGCAGGTTAGCAATCATTGTTCAGTTTTTGAATAAATTATACACAAGTATCTTTTAGCTGTTATTCTGCTATGATAGCAAGACACAATTAAATTATGATGATTATTATTTGCAATATTTGTATACCTCCCTTCTCAACCCCAAAGAGGACTCAGGGCAGTTCACAGTGTTGGCAACAATTCTATGCCATTGATGTCTTGATTATATGATAGACTTTCAAAAGAGCAGTGGAGCACCATCAATTGATTGGTAGTGTAAGATGTTACTGAAACAAACATAGACTGAGCTCAAACTGCTCTGTGATGGACCACAACAGCCTGGGTGTGTCTGTTAAGATACTAGACTTTTTAAAACCTACCAATCCAGATACAATACCACAAACTGTTCCTGAATATCTCTCTAATTAAAAAACCATTTTTTAAAATCCAAACCAATCAGTAAATATTTAACCCTGAACACAGATTCAAGTAAACATTTCTGTTGTAAAATTACTTTTCTGCCAGATTATTGAAGTTTCAGAATTGCTGAAATTTTCCTGATGTAGACTTAGGTGGGAGTCAGACACCATTATGAAGTATTTTTGTTTGTAGTACCTGAGTTATAGAGCAATGGATTGAGTGATGTAATCTCATATTCACATGAATATATATGTACAGAGTCCAGAAGGAAGATATACTATTCAACTGTACAATGTTTATTATTTCACCTTGCCAGTAGTATTATAATGGTTTGGAAAAAAATGGTTTTGTGGTCACAAATGGCACCAAGTTGATAAAAGGCCCAATAAAACATGCATGTTCCAATTTCCTGGTCTCTATTAATTAAGCAAAAAAAAAAAATCCAGTATCTGAATAGAAATCTGGTTTGCAAACATGTGCATGACTAGGAAACAATGTATTTTAAGACACATATTTATTACAGATATATATTCCATTTTCTGGGGCACACAGAGACAATTTATAAATACTTAGAATACATTAATACTAAAACAGCATTAAGATGAAACATAATCATCCTGAGAAAATGTTTTTTTAAAATATAATGAGTTAAAAAGGGGAACTACACTAAACCCAATATCTAGTTTTTTAAAGATATTTTTCACTTTTCAGGAAAAAAGTGCAAAAAGGACAGGGCCAACTTTCAATAGTCTAGTCCAGAACTCATTCAAGGTGCTTTTCCTAACCAGGTGTATTTGTTTTCTTACTTTATTTATTTATACCCCACCCTTTTCCTCATTGGGACTCAAGGTGGCTACCATCCACAAAATCTAAGCAAATACAATAATTTTAAAAAATTACATATTACTGTGTGGATATACAGTTAAAATGCAGTTAAAATAGCATCAGTTAAAATTGTGTTTGCCCCCCTCCCCCAGAATCCCAATCACAACCGCCCCAGCAGCATACCCCTCATCTGCCCCCAAATGTCTCTGGGCACAGAAAAGTCTTTATCTGCTTCTGGAAGGCAGCTACCACATAGAGTGCATGAAAGTGATCTAATCATTCATGGAATTCTTTTTTTAGGTAGGCTTTTTATACTTTATCATTTTAATGCAGTGGCTTTTGAACTTGGGTCCCAGATTATAACTCTACAAACCCTGAACACTGACCACATTGATTTAGGTTTCTGGGATTTAATGTTTTGACATCTGAAGACCCAGTCTTGGGACCCTGATTTTGTAGAGTTTTTTTTAATAAATGGGTTTTGTCTTGTTTTGTGAACTTCATTGGAAGTTTTTCTGAAAAGCTATATATATATAGAGAGAGAGAGAGAGCTTTTCAACTATATGTGACTTGGCCACTCACTATACCAGGCATCCTCAAATGTGACTGTTTGGGTCTTTATCGCTCAGAAGCCTTAGCCAGCTTATTAATTGGTCAGGAATTCTGGGAGTTGGAGACCCAAAAAGCTGGAGGGCTGCAGTTTGAGGGTGCCTGTACTAGAAGTTGGTTATATATGTCTTATCTAAATTTATATAACCAAGGTACAGTGATGGTCAAATCAACTTCATCTAGGAAAAATTACAGCTGTTTTACTAATTCAAAAAGTCTCCCATAATAGTCTTAAAAAGCAGAATTGTACTCTTGCGTTATGGCTGCTTTGGTTGTGCCATCTAGTTAAATGCAAGCATTTAGTGAATTTTAAAAACTGGGCTCAATCCTTCTGTAAACCTGAAACGTGTTTGAAACATTGTTTGCTTGCCATAATGCATTTCTGAATTATTTGTTTCCAGGCAGAAAAGCCCTCTGATTCTACAGGACCTCTTAGAGTTGCCAAAACAGAAGGAAGAGTTGAGGATAAAGCAGTTTCGAGCACCCCAGCCAATGTGGTATGTAAAATCTATATCTATTTCCCATGTGAACTTCGTTTAAAATGCATTAACAGTAATCTTCAAAGGTATCACTATGAAAGTTCTAATCATTACACTTAAATGGAGAACTTTTATAATTAAATGGCTTGAATGCTGGACTAGGACTCTGAGACACCAGAGCTTGAATCCCTGCTCAGCCGTAGAAACCAACAGGGTTACTTTAGGCAAGCCACACTCTCAGACTTTGAACACACTCTCAGACTGCTTTTGAACAAATCTTGCTGAGAAACCCCTCTGATAGGTTTGCCATAAGTTGATGAAGGCACACAACCACAGAAAAGGTATGCTTACTGCAATCTATGCTACTAAGCAAGGCAATTGGATATGTGTACATGTCACTGAAATGATTCCAATATGTATATTGAAGACAACTATGAGCATGTTTACTGAAATAACACTTTTGAAAGAGAGTAATAGGCATGACAGATTTATTCCCCTTTTTTCACACAAGAAGCAGCTGCTTTTTTTTCTCTTTTTTAAAGTACCATAAGAGACGTTTACTTTAATGAAAGCTAGGAGCATGTCTCCTTTGTTAACTGAGGCAAACCTGTATCTACATTATTTAAATTTTAGAAGTCATTTATATTAAACATTTTGCACATGTTTAGGTCATAAATTAAGTCCAGTGACTTGTTGCAAAGAACTCCTAATATTTTCTTGGAATGATCATTGTAGTCCAACTACATCTATTTGTCATGTGTGTTAAAATATGTAAAGTGAAAGTTTGTCTCCTTAGTTAATGATTCTCGAATTCCTTAGAACCTCAATCTGAAATATGAGAGCTACTTTAAGTTATTATATAAGACCACTTCCAGGATTATCCTATTCATGTTTACTCAGTAAAATATCAAAGCACCTTTATGACCAAGAGACTTGTATGATATTTTATTTTAGAAATTACCATAAGAGAAGCTTTCTTTAGTGAAAGAAATAAATCCTTTAGTAAAAAAATGTAATTGCCACAGTATAGTTTTCTGTAATCTACAAAGCCAGCCACTCTTCTTTCAGAATTCAAGTCTTAGAGGAGTATGGCTCTATTAATAGTTTAATTGTCCTTATATTGTGGGTTACTGATTGCTTTTTTATTTTTATGATTTATATTTATATTTTCATTTATAAGCTTCCTTGAGTATAATTTTATCACAGAAAATGTAGGATATACATGTTTTAAAAGCTGTGGGTGAATTCGAACAGTATACTCTGGATGGTGTGCTGGTTAGCTTCCTTGTTTCAGTACTTCTACTCTGATTTATAAATACCTTGACTACTTTGTAAAATGATGAATAGTTCCATTAAGACGTATCTGAGATGACGGGATTTGTTGATGGCTGTCTCCCCATCTTCGAGCAGTGAACATTTGTGTATGAACTTGTCTGTGTCTTTCAATACAATATTGTGTTGACTTGCAGCTCAAATTTATTATGTAGTTTTGCCATCTGTGTGTAATATATACAGATACTTCCTTTGGATCTTGTTGTTCAACTTCAAGGAATTTTAATGATGGCGGCTCTTCTGTCTTTTCAGTTTAATACACACCCATATTCTGCCACATTCAGTTTGCTTTCCTTTTCTTACTAGCATTTTGGGCATAACCTGGATTCCTTGAATAGCTTGGAAAAGAGAAAATGAGTTATCATTCTAGAGCTTTGGTATCTACATACACTAGGGTCAAACATAATCATCCTATTGTGACTTGCTGATTCTCAACATTGTCACAACTTTCTCTAAGGCATCAATAAGATGAGCATGTGTAATTTGCAGTATTTGTTCATAAGGTTTTTATGCAGCTAATTAAATCTAAGTAACATGTTGACAACATTTTTGGTATATATTTTAATTAGAGAAGGCTTCTTGAGCAATCCTCCCACAGAGTTTATCTTGTTAAGTCTAATATAAGTCATTTGTGCTTACTGTCAGCATATTTTAAGGGGTGACATACTGGTTCTATTTTGTTATTATATATACATGTGTATAAATCAACCTCATGTGTAGATTGAGGGTGGGTTTTAGTGTCAAGATTATGGATTATGCAATTACCCATAAAAATCTGAGGATAAAAGCTAGGGGCAGGTAAAAAAATATTTTCCTCCTCTAAAAAATGTGTAACAGGGACAAACTCAGGAAGAGCTAAAGAGAAAAGGATACATTTGAAGGGTTGTAATTCAGGTGGGGAGGTTACATTGCATTGATTATCTTAAAATATTTACATCCGTACAAATATAAATGAGGAGAAAATGAGAATGCAACCTGAATAAAGGGAAGAGGGAGAAGAGTAAAAAAAAGCAACCTAGCTCTATTGGGAACCCAGAGTGACAGGAAGTAATCATGATGTGTGTAGCATATGAGAGGAGGCAGTGTATCAGCCGTAAAAGGTTCTCAATGGGATTTCAGTGCCAGTGTGAAATGCATTTGTATGAGGTCAGATGACCTTTAATACATGATCTAAGCACCTAGTATCCTATAGAAGAAAAACTAACTTTTATACATGTGACATTACATTTAAACGAGGCAATCATTAATTCTACCCTTTCCTTGGTGCCTTCCAGATATCTTGAACAACTGTTCCCATCAACTCCAGCTAATATGGCCAATGATAAAACTTCGCAGGAACTGAAATCCAATATATATATATATAGAGTCACCAAATTAAGAAAACTAGTGCCATTGTCACAATATGTTGAAAATGTCCAGATTTACAGAATTCCATTGGAAAGGTTATGACTAGTACCATATCCATTTTATGAGTCTTAATTTATCATTCTTGTTAGTAGATTATGAAAATCAATTATTTGTTTTATTAACTATAAGTATTTTAAATAAAACTTGGTTGTGATGAATTGTATTGGACTCTGTGGGTGACTGATTATCAAATCAAATCATTTATTTTGGTCATTGACCAGCACATGAAATAGAAGTCACATTTTCATACAAACTTGGTATGTTTGGTACATTAAAAATATAAATATAACTACTGAAGTACAATATGGGTGAGGGAGCGGAAGGGGAAACAGGGTAAAAACATACAATGCACAGATCCATCACCAAATTGTAGATTCAGGGAAGAAGATTACTGGACACACAGTTAACTTTTGGGACTAGTCATTCCCTGACGGATTTTGTATGCTGCTGCACAGAACTTTGCAACATTGTAGGTTGTAGCTGAATTAGTATTTGCAAGTAGCAGGGAGATATAAAATTGTCCTGAATGGCCTGGGTGCTTGTATATCAGAGGTAAGATAAGCCTGGCACGGATATCCCTGTAGAACAGGCACTGAAGGAGCACGTGTTCTATTGTTTCTACATGACCCAAGTCACAGGGGCAGAGTCTCTCTGGGAAAGGGATCTTCCGGTAGCGGCCTTCAAGTACAGCTGATGGGAGAGCGTGGCATCGAGCCAGGGTGAAAGGCCTTTGATGAATAAGAACCTCTTAAGTTTGTTAAATATGCCATGGGGAGGCAAGATATCTGCTGCCTTCATTGATAAGGAAGGTTGGAACCGAGGCCAGGTCTAGTTGGCGCTCTGAGTCTGTGATATATTGTTTAATAAGTGCTTTGGCTTGATTTTAATCCATAGCAGAAAGTAGACCTGGAGAAAGGGGTGACTGATTAATTTATTGTAGTATGTATTATTGAACTGTCTTTATTCTTCCAGGGCAAAGGCACCACCCCTCTAGCACCACCACCAAAGCCTATACGTAGAAGGCCAAAATCAGAGGATGAACTGAAACCGGAAGCTGAGGAGCAGGCACAGAAAGCAGGTGTCATAGCTGCTGTTCTTGCTTCACAGCCATCTATTCCTAGGTAACACAAGTCGAGTACCTCTGATATTGAGACATTTTTATTTTAAATAGCAAACTTACCTCTTAAATAGCATTAAGGAGAAATGTAAATAGTCTGATGCTTGAATTGTTGAATTGCTAAGTGAAGGAGGTGGAAATAAGCAATGAATCCAAAACTCAAAGAAACAAATGAAAAGTATAGTGTGTATCTGTAAAGGCAGACAAAAATCTTACATTTAAAGTGTAATAACTAAAAGCACACTAAGACTGATTTTAATTGAAAAAGCCATTTATTCCATAACATCACATTTCTTTTAAGCAGAGCTACATACACTGAGCAGGAAAATTTGGCACTAACTGCTTCTTAGGGAACTGCACAGGCTCCTATAACGAGGGCAGTGACTTCAGTTCCAAAAAGCTACTCTTGCTGGATTTCTTACCATGCTCTCTTAAGCTTCACAATTACTTTTAAGTTAATAAATATCACACTTCTTGGTCAACTTAAAATTTAGAAACCAAATAAATTATATAGAGGCATACATCCAGCACAGTGTACTGGTTTGAACACTCAGATTTGAACCATACCCTAGGAAGACATGGTTCAAATCTCTACTCAGCCATGGAAATCTGCTGGGTGACCTTGAACAAATCACATGAGGAAGGCAAGAGCAAATTCCTTCTGAACAAATCTTGCAAAAAAAAAGCTCCATAATACGTTGAACTTTGGGTTGCCATAAGAGCGAAACGATTTGAAAGCCCAATAGCACATGAAGCATATGACAGCAGCTCAGTTGAATCTAGGCTAGCAGGTTTTAGTGAGATAAACACTGCCAGGCCATTTGTCAGAAAAGAATACACAGTCAGAACATACAGTTTTGTCCTTGCAGCAAAATAAGAAAATTTCAAAATAGTACAATAGTGGATGCACATTTAAGTGTAGCTATATAGATGGTGGCCATTGAAAAAAACATATACCAGTACTATAACATCTATCTGTGTGTATGTGTGCATGCATGAATGTATTTATTATTACCTTGCAACTAAATATATATTAAGGAGGAGCAAGGAATTGAGTATTAACTAGTTTCAGGGAAATTGAAGCCATTTAGCAGTCTCTAAAAACTATTTCTTGAAATATCTCCTCAGATCAGTGGGAAAGGACAAGAAGGCTATTCAGGCATCAATCAGACGCAATAAGGAGACTAATACTGTGTTGGCCAGACTGAATAGTGAATTACAGCAGCAATTAAAGGTAACATATACCTTTGCATTAAGAACTCTGTACAACCATGCAATTGTCTTCAGAGCCAATTTTTTAAAAATATGCTTTTGAAGATATTAGAGTTTATCATTTTCCTTATCGATTCTGCTCCTGCTTCCTTGGTATAGCTAATATGTCTGCATTGGTTGCTTAAGTTTGCCAGATGTCCACTCTTTGAAATTTCTCTTGTCACTCTTTATATTTAATGCATACTTTCTTTCCCCCTTAAAATTCAGCAACAAGCAATTGTGCTAGATTTCGTTGATTTCTTTACAAAAGGATCTCCAATGTGGCTTGTATAAAACAATGAAAATGTATTAAGAATGTGATGGGATATGTATATAACAGACTTCAAGCTAACATGTTGATCATTGCATCTAAAAGGGACTTACTGTTTTTCAGAATAGCCTTTTGCATTGTAATGTGTAATGGGCAAATCTTTCTCTTATAGGATGTTCTTGAAGAGAGAATTTCACTGGAAGTTCAACTGGAACAACTTCGACCTTTCTCTCACTTATAAGCCAATTGCCGTTAACTGTGAACTAATTAACTCCGAAAGGGGAAATTGGGCAAAAAGGCCCTATCAGAAGCCCGTATGTTCAGCTCAGTGCACTCTTAACATTTTTTTTGTGATTGTTTTGTCCTCTGTCCACAGTTGTATTTAAGTAACTTTTCTAATTTTAATACAAAGAATGGAATACGTGTTTCCTTGAATGTTCTATATATTGGCACTGCCAACCTTCCCATTTTGGGGGAAGGACACACTTTTTAAGTTGGAGCAAGGTTTCTACAACTTCAGTGGCCTATAATCCCAATCTGGAATTGATTACCTTATGGATTTTTCTATATTTCATGTCAAAAATCATGAATAAAAACATCCCAGATATCCAAAGGAATATCTGTCTTTAATGTAGAAGCACATAGATTTATCATAAAGGTCTTTTAAAATGCTATGATTGTGTAAGAGAAGATGAACGGTTGTGGTCATTAATCCTCTCAAATACCATATTTTTCCAACCTTGCAACCTTGGAATTTCAAGCCACTTGCCATCTTGATCAACCCTTCACCTTCCAAGTGCCACACAAGTTCTTTAAACTACCTTGCCATACCAAATGAATTTGGCTGTCCTTTCCCATTCATGTATTTCATATGTGACCACAGCTTGACGGTTGTTAAACATTTTCATTCATGACCCAAATTTTGCAGCATGCACGAAAGTGCATCCCTTCTGTGAAAAGATTGGGTGTTAATCCCAGTCGTGGACATTTCCTGAACACCACCTGTAGTTGCATGCTTTGCACATTGCTCTTTATAAACTGACACATATGCCAGACTTTACTGTAACATACTCTATGGTCAAGAAATGTGTCAGTACCTCAGCTCTTCTTTCCCAGCCTTTTCTCTCACAAATCTTTTATTTTTTCTTTTTAAAGGGTTGGGTGTCCATTCTCCTAATGTCTCCAAGCCATATTCTTCTGGCTTGTAGACAGGTTTCATTACTAACACAAAGAATTTCCTGAGTGTATCCTGCTATTCAGGTTGATGTACTGTATTAGGATTTGTTGTATATTGTATAATACACACCTTTTGATCTCATATGTAAATTTGCATTAATGCTGACTAACAGCAGATATTCTATTTAATGGCTTATTCTGGCTGTGGGATCATAGATGTTAAAGTGCATGGATGTATCTCAGCAGAATCAGAACTAGCAATTGTGTGATTTTTACACCAATAAAACAGCACAATATTTTAATTTGAGTGAATTGTTTTAATTGGCTTAACACGCTGAATTGTCTTTCACTAACCTGTAAATACAGTTTCATATTTGTTGTGGCAGGGATGGCAAATGTCTCCAGATCCAGGGGTTGCAGACATTTTACACCTGAAAACTGTGCATTCCTCACTATATTTTTAAAATATTTGCTCTGGAAAACCTCATGTCCTCTATAGGTGCCAGGGAGAGTTGTCATGGCTTGCTTTATGCCTGGTTTTTGAGATAGCTGCTACCACTCTAAAAGAGTTGTGGGTGGCTTCTTTGGCCCTGGAGGGCACAGGAGAGCTTTCTTACAAGGAGAATAAGGTGAACCCTCTCTCAGAGCCCACCCATAACCCTAGATATGCTGCCTCCTCCCTTCCAGTTCTATATTTCCTTCCTTTCTCTTTCTTCACTGTCTCTTACTCATTTCTGCCCCCAATAGGTTGGTCTTCCCTTAGATTCTCTCATTCTCTGTGAACTACCCATGGTGCTTCCCAAACCGTATAATTTCATTCAGCTACCCCAAATTGCTTTGCCATGGGTAGAAACAAAAACCTTGCTCTTGTCTTTGCTCTAGTTTGGATCTTGATGAATGGGATCAACTACTGTTGGGTCCTAGAAAGTAGCACAGAGCTGGACAGTAAGACCATCATGAGAAGGGAACAACAACTAGAGGTCTTCTCCAGTCAAGCAGATCATTTTATCGACCCCCTCTCTCTTTGCCAATGCAACATCAAGAGTTCTGACTATTGATTTGGCCAGTATAATCCATCATACTTAGTTTTTATGGGGTTTTTTAGATTTCATATCAAATACCATAAATAAAAGTACATACTCTGCTATGAAGTTAGCGACTATTGAGAATGTCTTAAAGCAACATGATTAAAAACACCATTTTGCTATTTTAACCAATATGCCAAGCTGTGATGATTTCCAGTGTCATGGTGTAACTGATGCCTCTGTTATTATCCGCTCATATAAATGAAGTAAATTGTCTGAAAGTTTGTCAGTGAGTGACAAAACTCTGCCTAGTTCCTAGATCTGAGATGGTCAGAGTATGAAGAATGGTCAGGTATTACGCACAATTCTGGGATATCTAGTCCTAAACAGTTTGATATGGATAGTGTATGAGAAAATGGATGGAATGAGAAAACAACACTACAAAAATTCCTAAACCAAAATGGTTTCATGAGGAACAAAAACCTTTCTCTTCTTTCTTTTAATAAGCTGACCATGATAGAGTGAACCCCTTTCAGGAGAAATATCTATTTGTGTTACTCAAATATTTTATTGCCTTCCTTTAGATGATGGAGGATCCTAAACACTCATTGTTTCAGGGTTCTTAGCTACAACTTTCCAGATGTTTATGGACTACTGCAGCTAATCACTTGCCCTTAGTTCTGGTGGCCAAAAAGCATTTGGAAGGCCACGTGCCTATCCCTGCATTCGTTCCTGTTCTTGTAGTAACTTTTCCTTCATGGCAGGTAGACAAGAAAAATGGAGGCACTCCAAAACAATTTTATTAAGAGTTCATGAAGCCATCACTTAGTACTTTCATAATCTTGAACCTCTTAATTCTTGCATTGGGAAGTTTATGAATAATAAAAGATTTAGATAGAAACATTTAATTCAACTGGCTAATTAAATACCATAAAATGTGTTCCCTGGTGTTGGAAACTATTAATGATGCTGTTTTAGAACAAACTAAGAAAAGAGAATAAAAATATGTGCTTCCTGGTAGATAAACCCTTACTAGTACTTTGATCTTTGGTAGCTTCCAAGAATGAGTATTGGCACTAAATCTATATTTCGTACAGTTACAAATTCTGCCGCTGCCACCGCCCTCCAAGAAAGCTAGAAAATAAAGTTCAAAGTTTTTTACTGTAAAGTTGAAATAATTGAAGATCTACATCACTGTTAGTAGAGAATCACTTGCAGTCATTCGTGTTTACAGTAACTTGCTGAACAAAGGTTAATGAAATGGTCATATTCTTCTGTACTCATAGAAGTAATGAGCAACTAACCAATATGGGTAAAGTTAGTAAACATTATCTTCTATACTACAAATAATTGCCTTTTGTAGTGATGAAAGCCATGTGAACTTGTCGTCTTCCTCAGTACAACAAATCCATTGCTTCCTGGGTCCTTGCAGACAAAAGGCATTCTTGATATCTGTAAAAATAATTTTTATTGATATTCAAGATGATCAATTTGAGCTATTTCCAAATATTTTCGATCACTCATACCACAAATTATGTAGCAACATGCATAATTATAATATTGAAGAGTTGATGTTTTTATTGGTTCCTTATATCACAGATAATCTTATTTTAATGTGTTTGGGAAATAGTGATATGAAAATCAGATTTAAAAGTGCCAATTGCCAGTGCATTACATTCTGTTGGTATAACAAAACAGGTAAGGATGGCTATATGGCAGTGTCACTACAGTACTGTAAGTGAAACTAATTTCTTGTCTAAATAAATAGCATGTTAAGATATTAAAGATTACAATGTTTCAGGAAACAGATGAGTATCATTTAAAACAGTATTTCTCAACCTTCCTAATGCCGCGACACCTTAATGCAGTTCCTCATGTTGTGGTGACCCTCAACCAGAACATTGTTTTCATTGCTACTGCATTATGATGCAGAACAGTAATTTTGCTACTGTTCTGCATCATAATGTAAATATCTGATATGCAGGATGTATTTTCATTCACTGGACCAAATTTGGCACAAATACCCGATACACCCAAATTTGAATACTGGCAGGGTGAGGTGGGAGGTTGATTTTGTCATTTGGGAGTTGTAGTTGCTGGGATTTATAGTTCACCTACAATAAAAGAGCATTCTGAACTCCAGTAACAAGGGGATTGAATCAAACTTGGCACACAGAACTCCAATGACCAACAGAAAATACTAGAAGGGTTTGGTGGCATTGACCTTGAGTTTTGGAGTTGTAGTTCACCTACATTCAGAGAGCACTGTGGACTCAAACAATGATGGATCTGGACCAAACTACACGAATACTCAATATGCCTTAATGTGATCACTGGTGGCGTTTGGGGAAGATAGACCTTGACATTTGGGAGTTGTAGTCAATGGGATTTATAGTCCACCTACAATCAAAGAGCATTCTGAACCCCACCAAGGATAGAATTGGGCCAAACTTCCCATGCAGAATCCCCATGATCAACAGAAAATACTGTGTTTTCTGATGGTCTTTGGCGAGCCCTCTGATACCCCCTCGCAATCCCTCCCCCACGGGAAATGCTGATTTAGAAGAAGACCTAAAAAGTCCAGATGAACGAGTAATTTTTGAAGCAATATATGAGGTGAAATTGGTAAAAGAGAAGTTAAACCAGATGTTGATTAAAAATATGGAGAGGATACTGAGGAGTTGGAGATTCTAGTGAGAAGAATATGCATGAATCTCAAACTCTAAGAACAGTTTCTGAGATGGACTGGGATGACTACTCTCAGAGAAAAAGAACAATGCTAGAATTTGATTGGTAACCTTTGATTTTGATTATTAGTAGGAAGATTCTACAAAGAGGAGGATAGTAACTATGGCCAATTCCACACAGCTAAATAAAATCCCACATTATCTGCTTTAAACTGGGATATATGGCAGTGTGGACTCAGATAACCTGGTTCAAAGCAGATATTGTGGGATTTTCTGCCTTGACATTTTGGGTTATATGGCTGTGTGGAAGAGCCCTAGGAAAGATGAAATGGTTATAAATAGATTATATGTTTAAATAATTGCTGAACAAAAGATGGGAAGTCACTTTTATTTTTTATTTTTATCTTTCCTTTTTTATTATATGTTGCTATTGTTCATTTCAAATATTTTAAAAATCTTAAATAAAATATAATTTAAAAAACCAAACAAAATTAACCTTGCCCTATATGAAGAGGACACCCAGATGTTGCTGTGAGGGGTAGGAGGCAAATGGTGTTCTTCCAGTTTGCAGATCCATCTATATCAAGTTGGTTTCAATGCAAGGCTTAAACTGGTTCCTAGATCTACCTCACCCCATTTTAGATTTAATAAATGACAGTAGAACACTAGTATACTCATGCTCCTAGTTTGATATCACTTGGAATTTTTTCGAAGTCTGTGTATCATTTCTCTCTGAATTTCACTTTACCAATTGGTTGTTGATCAACTAGGTCAGGAGTCCTCAAACTTTTTAAACAGAGGGCCAGGTCACAGTCCCTCAAACTATTGGAGGGCTGGATTATAATTTGAAAAAGACATTAATGAATTCCTATGCACGCTGCACATATCTTATTTGTAGTGCAAAAGACACGTAAAAACAATACAATAATTAAAATGAATAACAATTTTAACAAATATAAACTTATTCATATTTCAGTGGGAAGTGTGGGCCTACTTTTGGCTGATGAGATAGGATTGTTGTTGTTGTGTGCTTTCAAGTAGTTTCAGACAGGTTGACCCTGAGCGAGGGCCGGGTAAATCACCTTGGAGGGCCGCATCCGGCCCCCGGGCCTTAGTTTGAGAACCCCTGAACTAGGCCAAGACACACAATGTTTAACTTTCATGAATTTGAAGTCATGCTTCCTCTTTTCTCTTGGCTTTAAATAACTACATTGTTCAGCTTTCAATAAAGTATGAGATACTGCTAGAATGACGTTTGTACAGTCCCATGCATGTATTATTACAATACTGTACACATTACAGAAATTCACAAGCAGCACTGGAAACCAGATAGTTTCTGTGCCCATAGGGCCCATAGGGGGGAAACATCCCCCATTCTCTGGTTCTAATTCATGCCTCACTTAGGCAATCAAAGGAAAGCCATGTGAGTGCATGTTCAGTAAAGAAAAGTTGGCCAGGATCCACAGGAGTCTATTACTTCTGTCTCTAAGTAATTTGGGCTTCCATTTAATCCCCCATGATATTTGGACCAGATCAGCTAGTGGCTAGAAGTTCTAGAAGTTAGATTATGGTTCAAACTCATTCTGGATTTCATATTAATGAGGTGTTTAGTGTTGCCATCTGTTCCTTTTTACAGCCCTGATAATTTTTCAAAAATCTTTTTTGTCCGCAATAGATGGATTTTAGCTAGTTAGATGTCAAAAGAAATGTTTGCTATTTCCAGGCTGCATTATTAATAATTTTAACCAAACATCTTTTCTTAAGAAAATCATTGGAAAGAGTATTCAACAGTTACATACATTTAGAACAATAACGACGTACATTTCGAGTCTGGAATATCGTCAACAAGGAGTTGATGAAGTGTTACCGCTGTCAAAAACTGATGAGTTGTTGTTGAGATCCGTTCAAAAGGTTTGTGTGAGATGCTGCGTTGTGTGATGACAAGAATGTCATTGAAAAGGAAAAGGCTAAGATCATGTGTGTGTTCATAGAGCCTGTAAGCAATAAAAACAAAAGATCAGTCTTTTCAATTATTCTATACAGAATATATATATATCCTGACTTTCTCTCAATGACAGTTCCCAAGGCAGTTTTTGTGTTGAGACTTCTGAGAACCTATAGAATAGATTGTTAATCTGTGTTGATATATATACAGAAGAATATGCAATAAGAAAGATACCTGCACCTTACCAAAAATGGTTACAGGTTGAGCATCCCTTATCTGAAATTCAGATTGTCCACATGGGTGACTGAGCTACCTTTGCTCTCTGATCGTTTAATGGATAAATTTTGTTTCATGCACAAAATTATTAAGATATTATATAAAATTATCAGGCTATATGTATAAGGTGTTTATGAAACAAAAATGAATTTTATGTGTAGCCTTGGTCCTAAGTCCAAGACAAGTATCTCATTTTGCACATACATGTAAGTATTCCAAATCTGAAAAAATTGGAAATCCAAAGCATGTTCAGTAAGGGATACTCATCCTGTTACTTCAATATGCTACTGTTTATTTCTTTTTTATTATTATTTTAAGCATTAACATTGCTAACAGTAATGTAAATGTGTTTTAGATTAAGGCAAATATATAGCCATGTTTTAGGAATTAGTAAACCTGATTTATTTTTTCATGTCAGGAGTGACATGGGAAACTGCAAGTCACTTCTGGTGTGAAAGAATTGACTGTCTGCAAGGATGTTTCCCAGAGGATGCCCGGATGCCTTACCCTCCTGTGGGAAGCTTCCCTCATGTCCCTTCATGAGGAGCTAGATCTGACAGACGGAACTCATCCCACTCCCCAGATTCAAACCACTGACCTTTTGGTCAGCAGTCCTACCAGCACAAGGGTTTAACCCATTGCACCACCGGGGTATCTGGTAAACCTAATAAAAGTCTAATATTAGTTATCTAGAAGGAACTATTAAAGCCTTCCTAGAATGATGCAGGAACAATGAGGATACATTCATTATATAATCATAGCCCCAAAAATGAATTCTACAATATCATTTTTCTGTATTTCTGATAAAACATAATTTACCCAAAAAATATCTAAAGAAGGGAAAGTAAACAACAATTGAATGGCTAGATCCATTATAGCAATAGTAAAGCCATATGCAAAAGAATCAGTGGTTAACAAAACTATCCTGCTATAGTGTTAGACCAAATCACAAAAAGCAAATTAGTATCCATTCCCGCACAGTGATTTATACTAAGCTATTTATTTACCTGTATGGCACAGCAACTTTCTCAGAACAGCACTTTAGCAAGGCTACGTCTTGGGTTCTGATTAGTAACCTACTGGCTTTCAGTAACGTCTGTGAATTAAACACTGAGTTATTAAACTTCATTACAACCAAGTTCATTTCTTTCCCATGCATTTTGCATTTAATTGCTCCCTGTAAATCAGATTTCTAAAGTACTTGAATACCACAAGAATGTGATGCATTTTTACCATGTTCTAAAGTGGTGCCATATAGGCATACCTCCATTAACAAAGCTTCTGATAAAGAAACTCCTTTAAATGCCTACCCAGCATCTTCCCTTTTCTTCCTTAATCTCTATATACATGGAGGGTATTTTTTTAGTAGGATCAACGTTGAATGGATAGCAAAAGGGGGATGGAGAAACACAAAATTTCGATTTTGCGATACAGAAACATATATATAGCAAACAATGCAATAAAGCTTGAACAAGAAATTAATCAGGTTGCAACAGTGTGCCCACAGAAATCAATCCAATAAAAGCTTGACCTGTGAAAGAATGGATGTGTGTTGTCGAAGGCTTTCATGGCCGGAATGACTGGGTTACTGTGAGTTTTCCAGGCTGTATGGTCATGTTTCAGAAGCATTCTCTCCTGACATTTTACCCACATCTATGGGAGAAACCCACCCTGGACATTCCACAGATATATGAACCTCAATTGCCTAGTTTCCAACAGACCTCACAACCTATGAGGATGCTTGCCATAGATGTGGGTGAAACGTCAGGAGAGAACACTTCTGGAACATGGCCATACAGCCCGGAAAACTCACAGCAACCCAAAGAATGGATTCTCCACTAGCCATTCTTACTGTAGCCTGCCTTCATCAAGCAAGCTTTCTCTACAGTTCCTTTCTCAGCATATGTAAAGAGTGAAAGAGAAAATACAAAAGCACATAAGCCTGTCTCAGCTATTCCCCTGCCCTATCCCATTCAAGAAGGATAGATCTATATGTTTATTTGGTCACTAAAACAAAATACAAGAAAAATGGAAACAGATAAAAGAAAAAGTCAGCCCTGGATGCAATTTGGATTTTTGAATAAATGTTCAAGAATTGTCTGAAATAAGTGTTTCTTTTCATATGCGTGTACTGCTAGTTTTGATTAAAAGCTTGTGGAAATACATTGGACTGATCTTTTTTGTGACCTATTCCTATTCTTTCCATGTTGTTGTACCTCTGGTACCAACTGTTTTACCAAAGAAGGAAAGCCTAGAAGTATATCTTCTTTGTTAACAGAGGCATACCTGTATCTACATTGTTTACATTTTAAGAATCATTTATATTAATATTTTTGCACACTTTTAGGTCATAAATGAAGTCCAACAACTTGTTGCAAAGACTTCCAATATTTTCTTGGAATGATAATTATAGTCCAACTACAGTGATTTCTTAACTATGTTAAAATACGTAAAGTTAGTTGTTGGCTAATGCCTTTGTTTAGACCACTAAAATGATCCAAAACACACTTTTCCATTTTTACTTTTACACTCAGACTTGCTTATCTTATATTTTTTCAGGTGAGTATCAGCCTTTAACACAGATGTTTACATTTTCATATACCTCATAAGTGTGTTAATACTATGTGTTTCATTTTGCTGAATGATCTTCATTAAATTTATTTTTCCCATTTATTTACAAATAAATATACATTATTTTGGGCAACTTATTATGTCTCGGTTACACAAACACCACAAATTTCCTCCATGCTACAGTTACTATGAACCATTAATGGACAAGTGAAGCCCTTCAAATGTTGTTGGACTGCAACTCCCAATAACTTCCAACCATCATGGCCAATGACAAAAGATCATGAGAACTCCAGTAGAAAAAAAACATTGGGCCATCCTGGATACAGATAATTTTTCTACTTACTGGACATCCTTGGATGAGTCTTTGTGTACTTAATAGTTGGTCGTCTCTGCCCACGTTTAGCTTTAGCTAGAAATTTAAAGAATGTAAGAGATTGCAAATTTTCCATGAATGAAGAAAGGATCTAATTCTTTGATCCAAAGACAATCTAGGTAAGTACATTAATTGTTTTCAGGAAGTTGTAAAAGAAAGTGCACTATATCATGAGAGATTACCTGCTAAACAAAATGGGAAAGTTTACATAATAGTAGAGATAGATTTTACTTTATTGTAAAATACAAGGACTAGAATGTAGGTTGAACCTCCACGGGCTTATGCGTCCCTTAAAGATCTGGTTTTTCAGGCGCTTTAGAGCCTCTCTCCTGAATTACTTAAAAGTCCCAACGTCACGTTACACAGGCTTTCAATGTGAGATGGCAAGATCATAAAAGATGTGGCAACCATCCTCACATCCAAATGTATACTAATGACATCAGTACTGATATTCATGGGGGTCCCGAATGCCTGTATGAGTTGGCTTCAATAGGGCCTGTATAAGGTTCATCATAGCTTAAGGCCCACATGCAGCTCTTTATACTACACGAAGGAAATGTTGAATTGAGGCCATTGTATCAGTGGTGTATCTTTGTTCTACTTGGGGATCTGGATCTGCATTCTATCCCAGAAAATACTCAAATCTTCTATCAAGTAACCAACTCAGGATACATGTGCAGAGTTATATTAGTCTGAAAATGCACACAAACTTGAAATCCATGCCAAAGTTATTAAGCTCTGTTGATCAATGTTTTAAGAGAAGGGCATTTTTAGTTGGTGAACTATGCAAAAACTAATAATTGTTTGGAAAAAATATATCAAAGGACTGGAGTCTGGATCCAATTGTTATTCCCAACCAGAGTAAACCTATCAAATCTCTCGGAATTTGGGAAGTCGTTGTAAGCTCCATTGATTCAATGAGTCTACACTTGTTGGAATTAACAACAGGATTTAAACCCATATGTGCACAATGTTTTAGTTTAGTATAGGAGTAGGTGTCTCCATAAAAACATTGTTTAAATCTCATTTTGTTCTACTTGGGGATCTGGATCTGCATTCTATCCCAGAAAATACTCAAGTCCATTGGGTGACCTTGACTAAGTTACATTTGCTTAGCATCAGAGAAAGACAATGGCAAAAATCTAAACAAATTTGCCAAGAAAACCCTGTGATAGGAGTCAACTTGAGGGCATATAATATCAAAACAAATTGATAATTTTCCTGAAAACAATGATCCTTCAAAGTGTTCAGCACATAATTTCTTTTAGCATTACTCTGGCATGTGAAGAAAGAGAAAATATTACATATGCACACAGTGGCTCTAATCCAAACTTGTTGAGAAAGGCACAATTGGGTTTTAAGGAAGAAAACTATTTTGGGAGATCTAATCATACATATCTTTTGCCAAGTACAGTTTGACTTCATGAATCTTGTAAGGTTTTCATATTAAAAAGAGTGTAATGGACTGACCTGATCTACATAATCCTTGTATCTTTTCATTTGACTAATTGCAGCTGTCAAATCTTCCCGGTCAGTGTGTCCTGCAGGAGTGTGAACTCTCAGCGCATGCAGGAGAGTGATGTATTCTTCAATCCTCTTTGAAGGGCACAAGAGGTGTTCTTGTAGACTACATATTATATACAAACATCATGTTTTAATTAAAGCAGCTAGGTATATTCCATGTTTTATTTTAAGACTGGTCAAAGCAAACATGTACTGTCAAAGGTTTTCATGGCCGGAATCACTGGGTTGTTGTAGGTTTTTTGGGCTATATGGCCATGTTCTAGAAGCATTCTCTAGAACATATAGCCCAAAAACCTACAACTCAAAGCAAACATGGTCAGAGGCTTATTTTAAAAGTTATGCCAAGCTATACTCCAGATTCTACTTTTCAATATATCAGCTGCAATCCAACACTCCCTGAGCATGGCATAACTATTCTCAGGTGGAGATATGCTATGCAGGCCCTGTGCAGAACAGCAGCACTGTGAAAAACATGCCAATGACTGGTTGATGTTCAGTAATGTGTAATGCATAATCTCAATATGCCACGTGCAACAGTAATGCTCAATATCCTGTATACACCACTCTGTCACCTCCACTGTCAACAGAATATGTCTCTCGATGATGAATTATAATGAACAATTCACTTTATAGGTATAGCACAAGTTATGCATATATTGTTAATAGGATGCCAGTCACAATTTATTTAATCTGACATCACTAATGTGGATTCTGCCACTATGGAAGTCACCATGCTTCCTCAAGTCTGGGCACATATTTTATGCTTCATCCCAACTAACAAACTGATTGTTGTAACGTTGTTGTGAACTATAAGGAGTCAAGTATAGTAAACTTAACTGTGTAGGACTACAGACTGAACATTTTTTGGTTGGGTATATGATTAGTCTAAATGTTCATCACCACAACAACCTTGTGTCAAGGATGAGACTATGCCCTTCGACAGCATTAAGTCCATGGCTGAGGTGGAACTTAGAGCATCATTGACTACCATTAGTCAGGATCTGACTCGCCCCTCCCTTCTTGAATTTTATATGTTTAGAGTAGGAAGAACTGCTACCAATACATACTCGTAAATTGAGAGAAGCACATAAAATATAGAAAATTGACATAAAGAACAGCTTACCCTCATTTCTTAGATGCCATCCTTTTACTTCAGGATTCTGTAGAACACACCTTCTAAGGACTTCATTACACTTACCAATTTAATTGTCCTAGGACACTTACTAGCCAGTTGAGGGATGGATTGGCACACAGCCCATTACATGACATCCTAGGACACTTCCTCGTCAACATGGGAAGGTTCCTGTGTTGTGCTGGCTCCAATGGAGCCTAAACACTTCTGCTCCGATTGGGCGACACTTTCCCAGTGTGATGAGGGAAGCGCCACTGCGCTTGCTGGCAAAATGGCATGGGTGTGTGTGTGACAAGGTTTTAACAAGTTTTGTTACAATGTCAGAGAGACTCATGGAGCCCAATTTTCAGTTGGCAGAGTTTCAAAATCTACAAATAGAATTCTGGATAAAAATTTGGAAAATCTGAATAAAAGGCAAATCTTGCACAAAGACCTAATTAATTTTTATAGAGCACTCCAATCTGTTGTAGATGGAAACCATGATTTTGTGGCATTATTAGTCAGTTTGAGTCAGTAAAAAGAAGATATATAACCAAGATCCTTTCAGATGCAGTTTTTATATTTAAAAAATTCATCTCATGAGGTTTTCCCATCAACACGGCTACCACCACATTTTAGGCTTAACTGTTCAGTTTGAAGACACAGTCAGGGGGAAAAAATTAAACATGACCTGTAAGAAGCCGAACAGAGCATCATCTTTTTATTTGCATTCTTTGCCCATCCTTAAGATCTTTTAAAATGCCAATTATTACCTCCTCATGGTCGTAACGACAGTCCTATCATGTCTCTTCAAGAAAGCACGGAATACTGGAATGGTCTCCCTGCACTGTGGAAGAAAGGCATTTTGAAAAGCACATCTATGTGACTCCATTCACAGAAGCACAGACCAAATGAAGAGCAGGCTACAGAATTTCTGTAACCCACTATCAAGGGTGTAGTGAAGGTGGGTGGGTAGGATAACAGTTCTGCCTCTCTGGTGAGATTTTCCTTCAATCCCCAAATGTCTAGCACTGCAATAACTTGAAACATTGGTTGAGCATTTAGGAATACATAGGGCATAACTATTTTGAGGTGGGCACAACATTGGCACAAAAATAATTATTAAGTTTGCCCACTTGCAGATACTTATTTATAAGTAAAGTAAAGGTAAAGGTTTCTCCTGACATTAAGTCTAGTCGTGCCTGACTCTGGGGGGTGGTGCTCATCTCCATTTCTAAGCCGAAGAGCTGGCATTGTCCATAGATACTTCCAAGGTCATGTGGCTGGCATGGCTGCATGGAGTGCTGTTACCTTCCCGCTGAAGCAGTCCCTATTGATCTACTCACATTTGTATGTTTTCAAACTGCTAGGTTGGCAGAAGCTGGTGCTAACAGTGGGAGCTCACCCTGCTCCCCAGATTTGAACTGCCAGCCTTTCAATCACCAAGTTCAGCAGCTCAGCAGTTTTACCTGCTGTGCCACTAGGGGGGCCTTATTTATATAGCAATGAAAATACAAAACACATAACAACGTGCTTGTTGCAACCTACTTTGAGAACAGAATTTTCAGAAACCCAAACTAGAGAAAGGGATCCCCTTTACACCACACAGCTTTAGAGAGCTCTCTGCATCCATTGAAGTTTGGTTCCAAGACTCCCACCCACCCAGCCCTAAATACTAAATCTAAAAATTCTCAAGTCCCATTATATACAATGGCATAGCAAAATTGTGTCGCTTATATAAAATGGCAAACAATTGAAACCAGTGTCAGTGAGAGCATATGATCCGAGGGGCTACACATCAGTATGGTGCTCAGCATGTGATAAAATCAAGGTTTGCTTTTGGGGGTTTTCTCCCCAAATATTTTCATGCTGCGGTTGATTGAATCCTTGGGTGTAGAGCATGTGGATATGGAGAATCATTCTCCATATCCGGAATCTCCATATCCACAATGTAAAGGGACTTCTGGCTGGGCTCCGTGCCGAAAAGAGAGGTGAAGCAGCACTCACAACTGTCACAACAATATGACAGACTTCCCATGTTACTTTCCCATCAATGGGGGGAAACCGGTGGTGATATTTTCCCCCCAAGGGATGAGGGAGAAGGTAAGGTGGGTGATGCAGGGCATAGAGCAGTGGCTTCTCCATATCCCCTCTGGGAGCCCATAGATTTGCCCTGATGTGGAGAAAATCTTTGGGTCTTTATGATAAGGTCCTTAGTTTGCTGAGATACTAGATCATTCTGGCTGAGAGCTCTAAATATGCCTCCTTAAACTTCATATCTCAAGATTCCTCAGGGCCAGAAACATGAAATTGCATTATTATAATACTGTAGTGGTTGAAGGAGCCCTAGAATTTTTTGTTATGATATCATGCAACCTACCAGAAAAGTCATGATTTTGCCAAAAGCAACCATTGCTCTGTTCTGTGTTAATCTAGTTCTGATCTTAAGTACTATTTTCTAGCTGCTAAAGCCACAAGAAATTAGCACTTCAATTTTGTGAAAGCAGCATATTTTTCCCAAGCAGCCCAGTTTGTCAGCAGTCCACCACAATACAAATATTTATTCCTTAGGCCAGGTACTTTAAAAATATTTTTTATTAATGCCAAAAATGTAGGAGTTAACCTGATAGTCGTTTCCACCCTAAGGGTATCGTGCTGGCGTCAGTATTAATTAGAAGTCTGCTTTTTGCATGGGTTGTTTCCATTGAAATAAAAATGGTGAAAACAAGCAAGAAGAAAGCACTGCCTTAGAGTGGGAAACAAACCCAGCAGCGATCTGCTGAGGTGAACTACAATAAATAATGTATACTTAATGAAAAACTAAATAATTTCCATAATAAAGATGCTGAGAACATATGTATGCTACTTGCTTTTGATAAACAAGGCCTTCCTCTCCTTAATATTAGTCTATGCAGCCAAACAGGGAGCTTCCTTGAACTCAATGAAATTTTGGGGGACTGCACCCCAGAGGTGGGAAAGGATGAAGAATGAATTCAAGAACTCTATCATTTAAAAAAAATCAGCAAGAGAAAACATTTGTGACATGTAAGAAACAAATCAGTTATATAAAAATGGTAAACATAGACTTGATTAGCATGTTGCTCATTCATAGCATCATAGAATCATAGAGTTGGAAGAGACTTTGTGGGCCATCCAGTCCAACCCTCTGTCAAGAAGCAGGAAAATCACCTTCAAACTATCCAGCCTCTGTTTAAATGCCTCCAAAGGAGGAGCCTCCATCACACTCTGAGGCAGAGAGTTCCACTGCTGAACAGTTCTCACAGTTTGGAAGTTCTTCCTAATGTTCAGGTGGAATCTCCTTTCCTGTAGTTTGAAGCCATTGTTCTGTGATCTAGTCTGCTCCCTCCTCCCTATGACTTCCCCTCACATATTTATACATGGCCCTCATCATGTCTCCTCTCAGCCTTCTTTTCTGCAGGCTAAACATGCCCAGCTCTTTAAGCAGCTCCTCATAGGGCTTGTTCTCCAGACTCTTGATCATTTTAGTCCTCCTCCTCTGCACACATTCCCATTTACTGAGGCTTCCTTGTTTCTGCTATAAAACATTGCATCGGCTGATGTGCCCTATAGATAATGTAAACCCATCAGCCAGTTGAAGAGATGGTTCTAAAGCAGGTCTACAAACTTTGCAAACTGTGGACACCAGGGTTTGGTTGTTGTTGCCTAGAACTGTAAACTAGAAAAAAGGGAGTGAGCAGTCATGCTCCGTGGCTTGTGAGTTACACCTGGTTTAGAAGATCACATGCCATACATGTCCTATACATGCTCAAATGTGGGCAGAAAGCAGGTGCAGAGGGCCAAATCAATTGAGGACTCAGGGTAGGGCAGAGCAGGTAATGAGGGGGAGGAAGGATGCTGCTACAGACCTAGGAGCTTTTCACAAGGAGAAAACTGGTGCTACTCCCAAATTCAAAAGGATTAAAAAATAACATACACCAACATCTACAACAGAAAAGTATATCCTGTTGCCCTCCAGACATAATTGGACTATACCTTCCAGTCCTATATAACATTGCCTATACTGGCTAGGGATGATGCATTTGTAGTCCAGCATCTGGAGGGTCACACCTTATCTAGAAGGAAGACATTGAAAATCCACATGACACCAAAAATATATATCACATCAATTTTGTGCTCCAAAAATAGATTTTAGGCAACTTAAGAAACTGGGAGAAAGGATCCCAAATAAATGAATTGTAAATAATAAAACCTCCAACTGACAATCTATAAGAACAAACAAAACCAGTTTTATTGTTGATTGGTTTCTAGGAGTGGCTTGAGGTTCAGCGCATACCTAAAAATGGAACAGAATGGAATATTAGAAGAAACACCCCACATCGATGAAGACGGTGCATCTTTACCTTGTCTATGGTTTTCAGAATTACTGTGTAGTTGTTGTAGAAGTTTATGTATGTTTGAAGCTGCCGGCCAAATGCAATGAATAGATCTCCTAAATTTTGGGCTGGGCTCCATTCATTAAGTCTTTGAATTAACACTTCTAAGAACCACCTGTGTTTAAAACAGACAGAAGGGTGTTCCTTTCTTCCCATCTGGTTGCAGGCATGTTCAGGCAGATGACAATGATGACAACAACATGTTTACAGGTTTCAGGAGAAACTTCTCTTCTAGTCTGAGTGACACAAGCATTTGTCTCAGAAACGTTACCTTGGCTATACTTTGTGAAGCTCTTAGCTGGCTGTATGAACTAACTGAACAAGAACTCATTGTGAGGGCAGAAGATTCTTACCATATACAGGTAGTCACTGAGTTACAGACATCTGATTTACAAATGGCCTCTAGTTAAGAATGGAGGTGAGACAACAGGAAATTAGAGAACTCTACCCCTTGGAAAGGGCATTCAGTCCTGAAAGAATTAACTTGGGGGAAAGGTATCTGCACTGAAGCTTTATCACCAATCTTTGTTGCCACAACAAGCCATTTTTTCCAAACCTAATGATTGCAGAAAGTGATGTGAAATCTTCTGAACAGAGACACAGGCAGCAAAACAAACACCACAGGGGTGTTAACACTTCCCTATGCTATCCAAAAATAGATAGATAAATAGATAGATAGGCAGTTACACTTTACCTGTTCCAACTTACAAACAAATTCAACTTAAGAACAAACCTACAGATTCTATCTTGTTTGTAACTTGGGTACTGTCTGTAATAACGTACCACAGATGACTTCTGTCATAAACTGAGCATCCAATAATTCTTAAGCATTCAAATAACCAAATATTGAAATCTATAGCTAAAATACTGTTGGGAATTTCCATCTTTGTAAATGAACTTATCTGTAGATTCTACACTACAGAATTAATTAACTTTAACTGCTGAAGCTCAGTGCCATGGAATCATGGGAATTGCAGTTCATAGAGGCCCGTACTTTGAACCTCATCACATGGAGTTCCTTAAGCCAGAGGACAGTTGGGGAATCCGTCAGTGCCCCACATCTCCTGCATCGCCCCCTTCCCCATCACACAGAAACCATCACTGGCTTCCCTGTGCTGTCCCTGGCTTAGTTAATGAGAACATGGATAGTCACTTGTGTTCTCAGAGCTCCATCCTACAATGCTGCCAGAACAGAGCCAGGATGGAGCTCTGCTAGAAGTAGCCTGGCATTATGTGATGGGACCCAGAAGGCTCCATCCTAACAGCATCGTAGGACAGGGCAAAAGCCCCATGTGATGAGGTCCTTTGACAGCGAAGGCAAAAGAACTTGCAAAACTGCAACTCCCATTATTCCATAGCACTGAGCCTTGGCAGTTAAAGTGGCATCAAACTGAATTAATTATACAGCTTGGATACACTCTTTCATCTGTGGAATTTAGAACTAAACCGTTTTTTAACAACTATACCTAGTAAGGAACTGCTGCTGTGTTACTACATAGGGAAGTTGACAAAGTGTTCAATGCACATTAGTACTGATGTACATTGGGATACCAGCTGTGTAGTGCTGATGTGGTGCTCAATGTGTATTGGAACACTTTTGCTAATGTGCAGTTTCACATTGTCACAAATCGCAAACAGGATTTCTTAGAACTTCTGCTATGCAGGGAAATACAGTCAGCCCTCCACTTTCACTGGGCCTAGGCTAACAAGACCCCTGCAAAAAAAATATGAAAAACCACAAATTTAACATTAAAAAACTTAAGAGAACACCTAACTAGGAATGTCTAGGTCCTTCTACTGTAATTTGACCACAGAATCACATTGGAAGACCTAGAGGTTGTTTGAGAGGTGTTTGCTCAGGTAAAACAATTGCAGTCTTTAATGTACCACTTTCACAGGGGTCCTGTGCCCCTAACCTCAGCAAATGTGAGTTCTGACAATATCTAACACTGCATTTAATCCATTTGCTTTGTTTGGAATGGGAATGTTAATTATTTCTAAAATGAATTTAAACATGCTTCAAAGGTAGGGTAACTTACTTGTTCAGTTGTAAGATGGCCAAAATATCTGCAAAGATGAGCTGAATGCTGACATGGCTTAGGATGGCTCGGTTTGAGGCTAAGGCTGCATTCAGTGGCTTGACATAAACAGCTCTTACAATTTCCAGAATGTGCACATAGTTCTTTTCACTGAGCAGAAGCTCAATAGCAAAGCTTTTGCGCTTGTCTGCTATGTGCTCATAAAGCCAGCCATTCTGAAAATAAAAGCATAGAGACATATGTTGGCTGTATTTCTATTTATTTCATCCAACAGCCTGGATTGGGATACTTCTCTAAATTATGAATTCTTGCAAAGCATACACACTAGACTTTCAAGTGTTCTTGTTGCTGCTCACAGCACATAATATCCATAGTTCTTAAAACTTTAAGGAAGGAGGAGAAGAGCAGCAACATGAAAAATATATGGTCCTCCAGATGTGGTTGATATAAGAATCCCAGCTTTCCTCGGCATCAGATGTATTTTCTAAACCCTTTAATTAATATATACAAGTGATACTTTTTGTGTAACTTGCATTGCTTCTGTACTGTATCAATTTCTAAATGTATAAACTTGTATCAAATATATCCTGAAGGCATCTGCTGTCCACATGTCCTCTGTTTACAAAAGCTCCTGGGAGCAGAGATCACTATACAATTAACAAAAAGGTCCTTCTAGCAATCTCCCAAGCCAAATCATATCAAACCCTTTGTGAATGTATGCAGGACAGATTATCCTTTTGTCACCAAAATGAGCTTAAGATGTTTTCCTGTTCAACTAAGGCAGGAGGTGGTCATTCTCATGAAAGAATAGGCTAAACAAATATGAACACATTAGCCTTCTGATTAAGTCATAATTTCCCCCAGTTTTGCATCCTCCCAGAGGGTGTCTCTGCAATGGACTTGTACATTTTGAAGTGCTTGCAGGTACTTATATTCATTTTGGTCTAGTTGAATAAACCTTCAACCTGGAATGCCTGTTCTCTGTCCTGGCTGGCCTATTTTAGCGGAAGCCCAACAGGCACAAACCTTTCTATCTGCGGCCCTAGCAAAAATCTCAACAGTATTATCTCAGAAGCCTTTTGAATTGTTATTTTGTATGCACTTACTTGGTCACTACTAGAGTAGATCAACTGAATCAAAGTAAAAACTTATGAAGATCCCATTGATTCAGTGGATCTGTCTATCAATCTAGTCACAGTTCATTAATGGTCAAACAATAGACTGTTCATATATAATGTGTGTGTGTGTGTGTGTGTATAATTACTGTATAAAATTGATGACATAGATTTTGCATATTTTAAAAAAATATGTTTTGCTGTCCAGTGTATGCTTGCCCCAAAGAGCGTTTCCTGTCTCATTTTGTGTCTGAATGTAATGAGTGAATCTGAATGTATGTCAGTGGAAAGTACACAGTATAGTAATTCACCTACTATCAGAAAAGAATGAACACATATGTTATCAAATGTAATTGTATATGACTGCAGTATTTCTGTATTATATTGCAACAAATTGTAAGCAAGAGTTAGATATTTGGAAGAATTAATTTATTCAGGAGTGTCAACTTGAATGTTAAGAAATGGAATAAGTAATCTGTATTTAACAGCTGGGATCATGCTAGGGATGTATAAGTGTATACATTATTCTTATGTGTGCATATGCCTTTTTTTAGGACTGTGTGGGTGGTATTTCCTCCCTCATTCTCACTTATTGAGCAGCCTGTGAAGGCCTCTTCAGTGCACAGCCATTTATTACTTCATGGGGAGTAAGCAGGATCACAGAAGGATCTGGCTATGTCCTTGTAACCAGATAGATTTTTTTTTATTAGAACATGTTTTTTTTAATCGTTCTGTGTTGGATACTCTTTATAACAGACATTCTACTATACTCTGTCATTTTTGTGTGGTTTATGATGCCAATAATAATAATCATAATAATAGACCCAGGAGATGTCTAAAAATAATTATTTTGTACCTTAACTGATTCTTCAAAGCTTGCTTCTGAGTTGTTTCCAGTCAAGAAAACCTCTCTTCTAAGTTTTTCATTTTTTGTATGTTTCTTCATCAAGAAAAATGATAGAAATTCCAAAGGATTTTCCTAAGAAGTCATAAAGGTAAGTATTCAAGACAGTACGTATATCATCCTTTCTCCAAGCAGACATGGCTATTGCCCAGTCAAGACAAGTCCAGTTCATAGCAATAAATGTGGTTTGCACAATAGCAGGATTCAACTGTCTGATCCAATAGGCTTTTAACTGTCACTAAAAAGCCTTCTGTCCAATAGCAGATCCAGTTATAGCAACCCAAAGTTTGGACATATTCACCACCTGGAGCCCTTTCATACTGTACAATGATAGTGCCTTGACTCCATTTTAACTGCCATAGCTGGATCCGATGGAATCATGAAATTTGTAAAGGTGCCAGAGGTCTCTGGCTGAGAATTCTAAATGCCCCTCTGTAAACTGCAAATCCCTGGATGACATAGGACAGAGCCATGGCAGTTAAAGTATAATCATAATGCTATCATTGTGCAGTGTGAAAATTGCCCCTGAATCAAACTCCCAATCCTTTGGATAACATAGTTACGCAATAAGTTATTCTCATAACAATAGCCTTTGGAGTCTCATATTTCATTTAACACCACAAAGGCTTGGGTCAGCTGCTCTAGAAGAAAGGATTTCATCTCCATGAACTTAGTCAAGGTTCCCTACACTCTTGAGCCAAAACCACTATGCCCAAACTCGCCATTTTCTTGTCCTTGACTAATTTTTAGCAGCACTAAAAGAAAAGAGATGCATGTTCTAAATAGCAGATTGCAACAACCACATTTTTGCAACCAGCCTAAAACTACATTGTAAATGAAAAGGAGACAGTCTTACTTGCCAACACATACAACTAAGTAAAGGTTTCCTCTTGACATGAGGACTAGCCAAGTCTGACTCTGGGGAGTGGTGCTCATCTCCATTTCTAAGCCAAAGAGCAGGCACTGTCCGTAGACACCTCCTAGGTCATGTGGCCAGCATGACTGCATGGAGTGCTGTTACCTTCCTGCTGGAATGGTACCTATTGATCTACTTGCATTTGCATGTTTTCAGACTGCTAGGTTGGCAGAAGCTGGGGCTAACAACAGGAGCTCATTCTGTCCCATGGATTTGAACTGCCAACCTTCTGGTCAGCAAGTTCTGCAGCTTAGCAGTTTAACCTGCTGCACTATTGTGGCCTCACGCCTAGGTAGGTGTGGGCAACCGCATGGGATCCATTCCAAGGCCTAATTTCCATTACTGGCTACACACTCTCAGCAAGCCCAAACACCTCAATTTGTGATATTATACAACTTTTTGATAGGGATATTCGGGTGTGACACAGGGTTATAAAGAGCCTTTTGGGAATATCTCCACATATGTTTACATTATGTGGGGCTTTCTGCATGATTAGATCAAAAGTGCTTCAAAAAAACGGAGTCCTGGGGATTCTACTCCACCAAAACAAAAGCAAAAATAAAACCCTAGGTCAGAACTGTTTTGACATTTAATGTCTCTATTTTTCTTGCTGAAAAAAATGATTTGACCTATCATTCAACAATATATGGCACAGTTTCAGGCAGTAGGAAGTTGTTGACAGAGTGGGTTGTCTTGTCCCATGAGATCTGCCCTGTCCTTTCTCGGCTAGTCTTCTGCTCTCAGAGGATGTGGGATAGGATGCTATATCAATGATGCAGTATCAATGATGGCTGAATGAATGAGCCCCAGGACTGTGGTGCATTCTGTCTCAGCACCAGCACAATAAAAATATTCTTTCACACCAAAGACAGGGACACTGATTTCACAGTAGCCCCCTTCAGTAACAAGCAATTTTAGACCAGTGCTTCTAATATGATTTAATGTTGGGAACTGGTACTACCTTTCCACTATTAGCCAAGGTCTAGTACCAAATTTGTCTCCATTGACTATAACTATTTATTTATGTCTTTGAAACAAACCAGGGACTGGTGGCCTATGGATGGGTCACTTTGAGCAGCACAACAAATAAAATATTGGGACATGTGATATGCTTGAAAACAACAAACCTAGCTTACATGGTTTCCTCTTGAAAGTTCAGCTAATCCATCAGCCAAAACCTGGGCAACTCTTTGGTTGTCTTGAACTTCATACCAGCTGAGTGCTTCAAACATAATTTGACCTGTATATATGAGTTCATGGAAAAAAATATGTGTGACTATTTATGATGGTACAGGTTTGCCACTTCGTACAATCTGCAGCAAATCAACTTGTATGATGAGACCACACTGAGAAAGCATCTTAGTTACAATAGCAAATTATCGGACACAAAGGGCATCAACTAACTCTTCAAACACATTCCATCGTAGTGCCGAAGCTGGGTGTGACATAATGATAGTAAATCCCACTATGCAAAATTCATGATTTGTCAGTCTTGCTATCCAAAGAATTAATATTAAAAAAGATTTATCCAATGAATGCACTGGATTATCATTTCTGAAATGGGTGTCATTTAAGTTTCCTGTAAATGGCCTCTCTAGTTAACCAGGGGGTCCAGAGTGTTGAGTCAGATCAAGAACAGAATCCTACTGACCCATAAAGCTGGCAGGCACACTTTTTCCAGGGTTGCAGGGCAATCACAAGCAACGACAGACAATAGCTGGCATCATACTTAGTATTTATGAGATCATAAACCAGAATTACAATCTCATACTTTGGGGGATTCGTGGTTATAGTTATTACAACGGTATGTGAATTCCAAAACTTACATTTTTAACTAGGCAGTGTCTCAGGCCCCTTCCACGCAGCTGAATAAAATCCCACATTTTCTTTCTTGAACTGGAATGTATGGCAGTGTGGACTCAGATAACCCAGTTCAAAGCAGATATTGTGAGATTTTCTGCCTTCATATTCTGGATTATATAGCTGTGTGGAAGGGTCCTCAGTTGAAGGGTTTGTGAAGTGCTGCAGGTGAATGTATTAGGAAATGGCATCTCCATCAACCCTGCAGTCACAGCACACATGAAAATAGGGCACTGGAATGACCCTTCAATCACCTTATGAAAACTCTATGGCACAACCTTGTTCAAAAGAGTTTTAATTTCAGGTGAATTTAAAAAAGGAGGGAGGGCTTACCAAGAATCTTGCCAATAATATTCTTTCTCAAATCAGAGAAATGTGGCCTTAATTGTTTTCTGACAGCTTTCAGCGCATCTTCCAGAAGTTCTGTGAATCTAAGCCACATTTGCAGCTTTACGTCAGTGAAGTAGAGAGATGGAGGAAATGCATCCTTCTGATTTCCCAGCCATTCACTGAGAACTGTAATGACAGCAAGATATCCTTCCCTTTGAATTATTCTGCATACACTCAAGATAACACCTTTTTTAAAAAGCAAATATTATAGAAACAGAATTGTGCTTAGTCACTCCAGGAGAGAGTGTTGTCCTAGCACGCATCCAATCTCAAGAACAATCTTATGAAAGGCAGAACGACCAACACATTTATTATTATTATTATTATTATTATTATTATTATTATTATTATTTTACTAAATGAGATCTATATGCTGGATATCGTATCACAAAATCACAAGTTGAACTCTTCCCAAGCATCTAGGACTGTGTGATGTATTTTCGAATGATGCGTGCAGATCCAAGTAAGGTGGCCTTTTGCAGTTGACAGATCGTGATTTTGTCGATGTTTATAATCATTTTGTCAATTAATAAGTGGTCTTTTGTGCCCCTGCTTTTCTGTTAGTTGCCTTTCTGTTCATCTGGCAAGATGTTCTTTTCTTCAAGATTATTATTATTATTATTGATTTATTTTTATCCTTCTTTCTTCACACGGGTGGAAGATTTCTGTTCTCAAAACAGAAATCTCATATATATTTGTGACCATAATGCAGAATTCCTTAAACTGATTCACTCCAAATATGTAATACCAAAACTCTGAAAAATGAATAAGGGATTCTGGAAGCTGACACTTGCTCTGTTGCAACTGTCCATCATTTCCCTTCATTACAAGTGCTAAAGGCAGGGTGGGCAAATTGGGTTCTGTGGTCCTCATGTGGTCCCTGAGTCCCACTTTCATATCCCCCCCCCCCCAAATTCCTGTTGTGATGGCTATAGCAGGTTTAAATATAGGGTCACAAGTACATTGGAAGCTCTCTAACTTCATTTTGGCAGCAGTTTAATATTGACATTTTAAGATTAATTGGTTATGCAGCAAGATATTTGTGTGTCTGTGTGTTTCAGTGTTACAATGTTTTAAAATTATTTCATAATTTTAAAAATTGAGCTTTACTATTTATATATTTATTTGCGGTATTCTATGCCACCTTTCTCAGCCCAAAAGTGTCTCAAGGCGGCTTACAAATTGGCAACAATTCAATGCCACAACAGTCATAAAACACAATTTAAAACATTTAGCACACATTATAAAAACCATATAAAATCATTTAAAACATATAATCACCAATGACTTCTTGTTAACTCATTTTCCAGAACTATGACAACTCATTCAATTGTATATTAATTATTTTTTGATGCCAGGGTTTAGTTTAGCTCCATCTTGTTTTGACTTTGTTGTAAGCCTCCTTGGGTGCCATGCTAGGAGAAAACAGAATATACTTTTACTTACTGTGCTGATAGGATCCAGTTGCTATTCCTGTGGGGGTCCTTATGGGCATGCCAGTTAAACGAGAGAGCTGAGAAAGGACTTCCAGCCCTGCCTCTGGAAAATCAAAGTCTTTATTAATATAATAATTGTACATCAACAATGTAGAAAGCAGCATAGATTCTTATTTATAACTTATAACTTACATGGCCATGTACGCCTAAACTTTGTTAAATATTGGAGAGGAAAAAACATTTCATATATATGCATACCTCTCTTAACAAAGCCTCTAACAAAGAAACTCCTTTTTGCAAAGTTTTTTTACACTCATCTATGTGACCTTTCCTCCCCATCCTCTGGCTGTCTGAACATTATTAGCAGCATAAGAGGATGGTGAAGGAGGACTGGAGAAGCACAGACTTTTGGTGTTGGCACTCAGCAGCATGTCTGCAGCTAAAATGCAATAAATTTGAGCTAGGAAAGAGTAGATTTGACTCTTAAAATTGTTGTTGTGTGTGACTGCCTATTACAGACAAGAGAAACAGAAAAAAAAACTCTTACTGAGCATTCATGGGAGTAAACCAGAGAGAAAAGGCAAAAGCAGAAAAGCATATTTTTAAAAATCAGAAATATTTAGATATAGACACTAAAATGAAAATTATAAGAAAAGTAGAAGCTGTTGAAATAAAAAAAGTCAGCACTGGATTCATTTTGGAAGAAGCCTTTAAGTGCTCTCTGGGAGCTTTGAAATGTTTTGATTTAATCATGCAAGATGTATCTGGCTACATTGTTTCATTTTAAAGGTATATTCTGTATTCTTAGGGTTGTTGTAGCTTTTTTGGACAATATTGCCATGTTCTAGAAGCATTCTCTCCTGATGTTTCGCCTGCATCTATGCAGACATTCTCAGAGATTGTGAGGTTTTCTTAGTTTTGAATAAAAATATTTACTGAATCACACTGAACTGTCCTTGTGCTGGCAGGACTGCTGACTGACAAGTCAGTGGTTCGAATCCAGGAGCAGGCTGAGTTCCAGTTCCCTATGCGAAGACATGAGAGAAACCTCCCACAAGGATGGTTGAAAAATTTCAAAAATCCAGGCTTCCCCTGGGCAACATCCTTGCAGACAGCCAATTCTCCCACACCAGAAGCAACTTGCAGTTTCTCAAGTCGCTCTTGACACAAGAAAAAAACTATATAACTATACTAATATTTTAAGAAGTCATGGAAATGGAGAAGAGCCAGTGACCTTTTACTGAGATCTCATTCCATCCTCTGATGTGCATGTGCCTACATTAACGTTATGCTCAGAGAATTATTTTCCACAATCTTAATGGGGAAAGGATTTTGGTGTGACTTCTCTGACCGTTACATAAATGTATTTTTCCCTCTTTCACATCCTTCCCTTCTCCCCACACCCCCTTTGTGTTATACCTTTGGATTGTAAGTTTGCAAGCGCAGAGGCTGACTCTTTAAATTTAGAGCTATTTTGGGAGTTTTTTCAGCTGATCAATGGAAAAATAAGTAAATGCATTCACTTAGCCATTAGAGGATGAAGTAATTGTATATGTTGATTGTAAACCGCCCTGAGTCACCTACGGGCTGAGAGGGGCGGTATATAGATATAGCAAATAAATAAATAAGTTGACAATGAAAAAAGCCTGTTTTGCTTTGTTCAGATCTATTGACAGAGACCTCATAACCAAATATTAATACAGATATTCTATAATGAATATTAATACAGATATTCTATAATGAGATTATTATTATTTGGAGAAGCTGCAAGTCGTTTCTGGTGTGACAGAATTTGCTGTTTGCAAGGATGTTGCCCAGAGGATGCCCGGATGTTTTACCATCCTGTGGGAAGCTTCTCTCATGTCCCCGCATGAGAAGCTGAAGCTGACAGATGGGAGCTCACCCTGCTCCCCAAATTCAAACTGCCAACCTTCCAGTCAGCAGTCCTGCTGGCACAAGGGTTTAGCCCATTGCACCACCGGAGCTTCTTATAATGAGATAAAACACAGAAGACTTCAGGGCGGAACTGAAAAGTAGCTGGTAAAAGCAGTGTCAACGTTGAACCTCAGGTCAATTCTGATAGAAACACTGCCAGCATTGATGAGGCTAAAATGAGTGGCTTACAGGAGTACAATGCCGAGTGTGTTAAACTGTGAGGATTTCCTGATAACATAAACAGAAAGGATAAGTAACTGACAAATAGTGCCAGGCACTTCTAATGTCAGTCATAGTTATCTCAGAGGGCAGAATATTTATATAATGTATTGCAGCTTCTTCATGTGTTTAATGTTTAAAGCATATTGAAACCTGTGTGAGTTTGGTGTGTTTCTTTAAAGAGTTTTGTAAGCGAAGCAGAAGAAGTTAGCCATTTTGGCAAACAGAACTGACCTGAAGCTGCCAAAGGAACAAAGATGTCTATCCTGCCACCCTCTTGTGCAGAAGTGACACAGCTTTTTAACTTCTCCCAAAAGTCTCTCACTTCAGGTTTAAGCAGGTTCTTGATGTTGATTCTGTAGCCTGAACAAAATTATGTCAAACAACAAGGAAAACATGGGGTAACTGGGAACTATCTTATGACATAAATGCTGGCCTATTAAATGAAGAATCCCAAAGAATCACACAAACTAGAACCATTTTTGGGCTACATAGCAACTTTCAGGGTACATGTAAATTCTTTTCCTATATTTTAATATCTACTTCCTAACAGTTCTCTTATTTCCCTATTTCTGCTACTTAGATTATAAGAGCATGGCTAGGAACCTCTGATGCCCATTCTGTCTTTGCAAAGACATGAAGGTTGTTATCATAAAGGCTTCCTCTGCTGTTCAATGTAAGCTTGTTAAACGAAGCACATTTGACAGTTTTTTGTTTACCCGACCACACCTCCCTTTATGAACCTGTTTGAGCTTTAAGATTGGCTGGAGAGGCCCTCCTCTTGATCCTGCATTGCAAGCGAGGCTGGTGGGGACAAGGGAGAAGGCCTTCTCAATAGTGCCCCCCCCCTCCCCCCGGCTCTGGGATACCCTCCCCAGTGACATCAGACAAACAACCCTCATGACTTTTAAGGAGGACTCAAAGACTTGGCTATTCAAGAAGACCTTTGAAAATGATTAGTAATCCTTAATATGGAGAAGGTCTTAGTTTTTATGGATACACTTGGGCATTTGGCCTTTTACTTAGTTTATTTAATCTATTAGAACCACTATGTTTTAAATGTGTTTTTAACTAATGTATTTACTGTTTATTGTTTAATTTGTTTATTTTTTCCTTTATTAACTGATAATTTATTTTCTGTATATTGTTTATTGTGTTTTACTCATGTTGTGAGCCGCTCTGAGTCCTTTCAGGGAGATGGGGAGGGATAGAAATATTATTATTATTATTATTATTATTATTATTATTATTATTTGATACATAACAAGATTAGGACATAGCAAACAAGATTACAATGTGGGCTTTTGTATTTGATCACACGTTGGACACTTCCCAAGTGTCTAGGACTGTGTGATATATTGGCGAATAATGTGTGCAGATCCGAGTAAAGAAGCCTTTTGCAGCTGACAGATGGTAATTTTGTCAGTGCCAATTGTTTTTAAGTGCAGGCCAAGGTCTTTAGACACTGCACCCAGTGTGCCGATCACCACTGGGACCACTTTTACTGGCTTGTGCCAGAGTCTTTGCAGTTCTATCTTTAAATCCTCATATCGTGTAAGCATTTCTCATTGCTTCTCATCAATCTTGCTGTCACCTGGAATTGCAACTTCAGTTATCCATACTCCCCCCCCCCCCCCCCCCGACGTTTGTGAGGTCAGGAGTATTATTATTATCCATGAATCTTGGTCTGACATCACGTTACATATTTTATTTATACCTTTGTTTAAGGGATTAATTAAAAAAACCGGTTGTTTGTCACTAGTAATTACCAAGCCTTGCATATTTGAGTAGCACATCCCATTAAACATATGGAATTTAATGGGAATAAAAGATAAGTGTTGCTGCTTTGGAAATAGCTATGAGAGCAGAAGATTGCTAAGGGAATTCTTTTGAATTCAAGAGAGCCTGTAAGGATTTAGTGTTACTAATAATAACAAACGGTGTTGTTTTATTTTAACAACAGCATGTCATATAATTTCCTCTGATGTTTTTGCACTATGAAAGAAATTAATGAAAACAATGTTTGCCTATCGACTAAAGTGAAACAAGCTTGCCAAATATATGGATCTTCTCCATGGAGCATTGCTTTGTAAGGCTAAATAATGTGTGATCAGTTTGGATTACTATTTTAAATGAATCCTACCTTGAAGCAGGTTAATCCCCCTGGAATTTCCATTGCTAAAAATCCCAATACTCTTTGATGCTTGGCCATCCAGGGCCTTTTGCACATAGAAAAGAAGGCTTTCCAAGGTGCTGCTGCTCGGCTCGTATACTACAGGGATGACTCCAGGCTTAACACTGTCCACAATCAGCTGAAAGCATAAATCAAAGAAAGATAATTGTTTATTGTTATCCACCTTCTAGTCAGCTCTGACCTTATTGCAGGGTTTATCTTTGGAAGATTGATTCAGAAGAAATTTTCCATTCCTTTCTACTTAGATTGGGTGTGACTTGTCTAAGGTCACCCAGTGGGTTTGCATGACTGAGTTGTTCCTGCGTGCTTTAAAGTCATTTTTGACATATGGCAAGGAGAGGGTTTTCTTGATAGAACATCTTTAGAGGAGGGTTGCATTTGCCTCTGCAGCTGAGAGAGTTGACCTCTCAGATGCATCTATACATGATGGCCATGTATAAATATGTGAGGGGAAGTCATAGGGAGGAGGGAGAAAGGTTGTTTTCTGTCGACTGGGAGACTAGGATGCGGAACAACGGCTTCAAACTACAGGAAAGGAGATTCCACTTGAGCATTAGGAAGAACTTCCTGAATGTAAGAGCTGTTCAGCAGTGGCACTCTCTGTCCCAGAGTGTGTTGGAGGCTCCTTCTTTGGAGGCTTTTAAGCAGAGGCTGGATGGCCATCTGTCAGGGGTACTTTGAATGCAATTTTCCTGCTTCTTGGCAGGGGGTTGGACTGGATGGGCCACGAGGTCTCTTCCAACTCGATGATTCTATGATTCTCTCAAAGTGTCCCAGTAAGTTTCCATGGTTAAGCAAGCATTCAAACCTTGGTCTTTCCAGCGTCCTAGTCTAACACTCAAACCACTAAACTTTGCATTCATGCAGTTCCTTTGCCAGCTTCTGAGACTATGATTTGGTGAAGTAGGGGAATGGTCAAGAGGACAAGTCAACAAGTGGGCAGGAAAAAGCACGCAGAAATGAATTTGCTTCCTTCTCTCTTTCTTTTGGATAGTCATGATTTTCTCATGTGTGTACAGCTATTGCTTAACTGGTAATTCCTGCTTCTTGACAGGGGGTTGGACTGCATGGCCCACAAGATCTCTTCCAACTGTATGATTCAATGATTCTAATCTTTTTCAAATTTCTACTCCAAAAAATTATTCACCCCATTTTGTTTTTATTTGGCAAGGTTTTCTGTTGACTGGTAATGATGTGGAATTTTAATTTATTTACTTATTTGTTTCCCCTGCCTTGTGACCCAAAACAGCTTTCAAAACATTTTCAAAGATCCTGGGAAAAGCTCACTTCAGTAAAACAGATAAATCATTAAAATATAATGAAACTATTGCTGGCGTAAAATAAGAATTAAATATTCAGCTGTATGCTGATCTATTTTAGTGAGCTTGATAAACTCTATCTTGACAATAGCTGACATCTCCATATGGCCTGTATTGTTTGCTGAGTTCTGTTCATTTGTGCTATACTAGAAATGCTGTAGCTGCAATATTATGTGCCAAGGGCCAACAACAAAAAGTTATGGTCACATGCAGTGCTGTGAAATATTATCTTAAGCAGCAAACAAGCTCCCTACATTCTGTGTCAGTCACATTAAACTCACATAAGGATTACCACATATATATTAAATACAGAAACCTTTTTTTCTCATGCACACATGCCTGTAAAACTCTAAAGTTTTAGAACAGCATTTCTCAATCTTTCTAATGCTGCAACCCCTTAATACAGTTAAGTGGTGACCCCCAACTATACAATTATTTTTGTTGCTACATTATAACTGTCATTTTGCTACTGTTATAAATTATCATGTAAATATCTGACATACATGATGTATTTTCATTCACTGGACCAAATTTGGCATAAATACCCCAATATGCCCAAATTTGGATACTGGTGGGGTAGGTGGGAGGGTTTATTTTTTCATTTGGGAGTTGTCGTTACTGGGATTTATAGTTCACCTACAATCAAAGAGCATTCCGAAGTCCACCAATTCCGAAGGCACACTGAACTTCCATGACCAACAAAAAATACTGGAAGGGTCTGATGTGCACTGACCTTGAGTTTTGGAGTTGTAGTTCAACTACATCCAGAGAGCACTGAAGACTCAAACAGTGATGGATCTGGACCAAAGTTGGCACGAATACTCAATATGCCAAATATGAACACTGGTGGAGTTTGGGGAAAATAGACCTTGACATTTGGGAGTTGTAGTTGCTGGGATTTTTAGTTCACCTACAAGCACGGAGCATTCTGAACTCCATCAATGATAGAACTGGGTCAAAATTCCCACACGGATCCCCATGAGCAACAGAAAATACTGTTTTCTGATGGTCTTTGGCGACCCCTCTGATACTCCCTTGCAACCCCTTCAGGGGTCCTGACCCGCAGGTTGAGAAACACTGTTCTAGAAAATACAGATGCTTGAAATAAACCATAACTGTCTCAACCAGTGTTGTGAGTTTATTGGATTGAAGAGCCCAGCGTTAAGTTTGATTAATTTCCCCTCAATTCCCTCCTATTGCTTTGGGGGAAAATGAGTGATGGGATCAAGTCATTTGAAGGAAGTAAGGAAGGAGGAAAACAATTATACCTCATAAGCAGGAAGATGGGATGATATGAGTATCAGATGTGGCTGAAGAACATGATCCCCATAAGGGTAGCTTCGGGAAACAGTCCAACAATGTTTGTGAGGCATTGTAAGATAAGAGCCGCTGTAAGCCACATTCTTCCTAAAACAATACAAATGAAAAGTTAGGGTTAAAGTGACATAAAACAGTGTTTACTCAAAGTCTTAGAAAGGAAACTGGAGAGCTGCAACTGACATTGATACTTGTTGACAAAGGACCTCATCACACCAGAGCATGGATCCACTTTAAAACTGGTTTCTGCCTCCTGCAAAATTATGGAACTTGTAGTTTAAGGAGGGACCTTTAAACTGCTGAACCAAACAGGTCCTTGGCCTCACTAAACTACAAACCCCAGAATTCTGCAGAAGGCAGAAACTGAATTTAAAGTGGATCCATGCTCTGGTGTGATGAGGCTGATAGTTATGGCAAAAATATACAACATGCATCTGATGCTTTCCCAATCACATATAAAAAGTTTGTTGAAAAATCATTTCTCCAGGCCAACCTATTTGGGGAGACAGGCATATTTTTTGCTTACATTTCTCAAGGGTAAATGCAACATTTAGACGCAATCAGGAGAATTAACAATTATCCAATTTTCATTCTGTTAGCCTATTAAAACAATATTGTTCAGTTTCCCAACTTTAGAGGCAAAATACACAATTATCAACCATATTTAGTTATTGGGAATACACATATTTCATTGTGCATAATAGTGGTCACTGCATAATAGAGGAATCCCCATTTTTGGGGTGCCTAAAATTGCATTTTTGTTTTATTCATACATTTATTTGAGGTTGATTCTTCTTTCCTTCTTTCTCTGAAGGCAAGGCAGTTTAAAAACTACAAAATGGAGGTCTCTGGAGCTCCACTCTTTTTTCCTTCCTCCTTCCTCCAAGGCAAAGCAGTTTTAAAAACCTGAAATGGAAGTATCTGGAACTCCGATCTTCAATTGTTCCTCCTTTCTCCAAATAATTCTATTCCAGGTTTGTAAGTTGCTCTGCCTTGGAAGAAAGAGGGAAGAGTGCAGTTCCAGAGACCTATTCTACAGTTTTTTTTAAATTGCCTTGCCTTTGGAGAAGGAAGGAAGGAAGGAAGGAAGGAAGGAAGGAAGGAAGGAAGGAAGGAAGGAAGGAAGGAAGGAAGGAAGGAAGGAAGGGAAAATCTGCCCCAAATGGCCCCACAGTTTAAAAAAAAAAAACCTAACAAACAGAAACACAGCTGGATCATCCCTCCCCCTCTCCCCCATTTGGAGGTAAGGCATTTTTTAAAAAAGATTTTTTTTCCTCACGTATTAGTCACACCCATTTTTGATGGAAAAAAAGGGTGAAGTGTGACTATTATACAATGAAATATAGTACTTTAAGGGTGAAGAGTGACTATTGTACAATGAAATATAGTACTTTAAGAAAATGTATGAAAACAAGGGCATTAAAAACAGTTTAAAACAATTGCTATATAATTTATATGTATCAAATATGGGTACTTTACACATCTTATCCAGTTGCTTACATTTTTCAAGGAATTTAAACAAGACAAGACTTACAGAAGCTGCTTCTCTGCTTCTCGACTGAATTTCAGCTCAGATTTCATTTCTTCAGAAAAATGTTTTGAGGGCATATCATTTGGAGAAACTATTATTTTCTAAAAGCATTTAAAGAAAAAATATTACATGAGTTGCTTGAGAGGTACCTGAGATATGTACACTATACTTGGGGGGAAATATAGAATATTTATATCTGGGCTTGCAGGAAGCATTGCGTTTGTAGTGGCTAGGAGCATAGTAAGAAGAAACCATAGAGAAAACAGCCATATACTTCACCAGTAGAAGGATTTTATCACATGGAGATGGCGAGATGGCACAATAACCTTTGGTGCAGTCTGTATTGCGTGACATTGTGCGATAGATACTTGTTGCCAGTTTGCCACCTCCCCACCTCCTCGTGATAAACTTGTCAATAGTCCCTAATTGTGCCATGATCCCAGGACTTGTGTGATGAATCTGGGCATTTCTGTTGTGGTGTCTGCTGTACAATTCATGCTCTAAAAATTACTGCATGCTTTCCACTATCCCATGCTATTACCACAATATAGGATAGAAGGAAATTACTGTCATGGAGATGTACAACCTCACACAACCATTGCTGTCACATGATTGCAACACTGCAGCCACGTAAAGTAACATTTCTGGGTGAGCAGCATAACTCCAGCCTCCTGCTGTGCTGCTTTCCTTCCTTGTTTTCTTTTTAATTTATTTTTGCAGGCACTTTGCAATTGCAAATGCAAAGTGCCTGGTGGGAAAAAATTAAAATTTTAGAGCAAGGGAACTGCAGCAGATGCTGCCACAGAAACACAGACTCCCTGCACATGATGAGTCACAGGATTATGATGTGGCAAAAACTTCATTATGGTAGAGTGGCAGATCTGCAACGGGTATCACACAATGCCATGTGAAAGGGACCATCACCAAAGCTACTGTGTCGGTTCACTGCATAATTTCATTTTTTTTCAAGAGGCACTTTGCAATTGCAGCGTACATACAAAAAAAAAAAAGGAGAGGAAGCAACACAATGTGCAAGAATGATGCTACCCACTCATAAGTGAGACTTCATGCAGTTCGACATCACAATCCCATAGCAGGAGAGACTGTGAAACTGTCAATCTCCATAGTGTAAATTGCTACTATCCTGCATTATGGGAATTGTTTGGGATAGCAGCAACAAGTGGCCCTTTCCAAAGCCACACTAACAGAGGGTCAGTTTTCCCAGCATGTACAGTATATATGTGCTCTGTGTCCCCTTTGGCTACCAGACTAGTTAAAGAGGTAACTTACCCACTACAAATGTAATTAGACTGGAATCCATTTCATACCATGCAGTTATAGTGCAATGATTCAATACTAAGTGCTATGGCTAAATCCTATGGAATCCTAGGATCCATAGGTTTCATATATGACAATCAAGTGGAACTACAGTGTAATATTTATATAGAATGAAAAAACTTTTAGTGATTTTCTCATCCAAGAATGGGATGAATCCCACTAAGCCTCCCAAATCAGATTATATTTGTGTGTATGGAGGGGTTGGACTATGTTTAAGAAACTCCTGCCAGACAGGTGGGATTCCAGCCAAATGGCATCCTTATCAAAGGCACCAGAAAGAGCTCTTGTAGATAGAGGGGCTGAGAGTCAAAGGCACTCTTCATGTCTTCAAGTGCTAAGCTCTTTTACTGAAAATAGCTTCTCTTGGAAAGAGATTAGACTCAAATTAAGCTCTCTGTAAGCATGCTCAAAAGCAAGCTATATGGTCACTATAATGAGCATAATACCTTTGCCAGTATCACTGCTGCAGGCAATCTAGATCGGTCATGGATAGTCTGAGACAAACTCAATTGGCATCCATGTCTGTAAAATCCTGAGCTTCGTGTTCCACTTAACCAAGGGGGGCGAGCTTTCAACAATTCCTCTGAAAAAAATTAGGAAACATCAGACAATGCCATTTAATCCTGCATCTCTCTCTAGGATTACCACATTACGCAACCAGTCGCAAACCATTTTTCTGCACAGACAGTTATACATTCAACTAAGCTAAGTAAAACTGCCACACATAGAATACTGTCAATGATGCAGCCCATATATAGGAAATAATATGCCAAACGCATACATATTATACCATTACATTATAAAAACATATCTCATTAAAATCTAATTAAAGTGTTCTAACTGTATTTATGTTCCCATAAACTGCCACAAAAGATTTGCACTTACTTCAAATCATACCCTCAATACTGTTAATTATGATGGTGATTCCTTTTACAGGGAAACAATTTTTAAAGGAAGTCTTCTCTTCTTAATGCCAGCTTGAGAACTAGAGACTCTGTAGCACCGCCTTCGCTGAATAGACTGAACTGGTTGCCATTTTTTAAAAAAAATTAATGTGACAATAGAATATTTCCTTAACCTATAATGTTTTGATCACATTTTACTTTCACCCATACTTCTTATTCTGCATTATTTTCAATATTCAGTGGTTCCTAACCTTCGGTCCTCCAGGTGTTTTGGACTTCAACTCCCAGAGATCTTAGCCATCTTACCTGTTGTTAGAAATTGTGGGAGCTGAAGACCAAAACACCTGGAGGACCAAAGGTTGGGAACTACTGAAAGCTGCAACATTAGGTATCACCACATTCACATTATAGCATTCTTATATCTCTGTTTTGGTTCCATCCCATAGAACCCGTGATTTGTAGTCTGGAGAAGCAGTTTGAATTCTCTACTAAAAAGCTCTAGCAGTCTCCCCTGAACTACATAACGAGAGAAAGTTCTGGGTACCCATCAAACTACACATCCCAAAATTCTATAAGATGGTGCCATGACCATTAGAGAACTATCAAACCACTATCACTTTTTAGTATGGGATAAGTCTCAGTGACAGGTTCCAATTTATCATCAAAGACTTACATCTTGAGGTAGTTGCCACACCTCTATAGCGAAGAAAGCAAGAAACATTGGTAGACCATTGATTGCAACTGAAGGTTATAATAGAGCAGTGATTCTCAACTTGTCGGCCCCCAGATGTTTGGCCTTCAACTCCCAGAAATACTAACAGGTGGAAAAGTGACTGGGATTTCTAGGAGTTGTAGACCAAAACACCAGGAGACCCACAGGTTGAGAACTACTGCAATAGAGGATTATGGGAGCCAAAGAGACTGCACACAAAACAGTTTTCACTGTCCCCCCCCCCCCCAAATTCTCACCATGAAAAGCCTCTCTAGATGACAGGAACATAAAAGGCTGCAGTGAGAACTGTCCAAATTTAGACAAAGGAAGCTTACATTTGGAAGTCACCCTGAGTTCCTTCGGGGGAAGAGGTTAAAACTAAACTACAGTGTTCCCTCACCTATGCGGGGGTTCCGTTCCATGTAGGAACGCTATACTGTATATGTACAGTATAGCTCCGCCCACTCCTCTCTTCCTTTCCTCTCTCTCTCTCTCTCTCTCTCTCTCTTCCTCTCCTCTTTCCCACCCCTTCCTCCCTCCCTTCCCCCTCCCCTTGCTGGAGCCACTCTTCTCCCACCCTCCCTGCTTCCCCACTGGCATGGGGCTCTCACCCGGTCATTCCCTCACTACTTGTATTTTAAATTAATTTTTTTTGAAAAGCCACGAAACAGCAAGCCTGCAGTTAACAAACCGCAAGCAGCGAGGGAACACTGTATTGTTGTTGTTGTTGTTGTTGTTGTTATTCATCTTTTTGGGGAGAAGGTAAATTGGGTTTTGGGGCATGGGAAATAAAGATTAGATTCAAAACTCATCTTCTGCTTGCACTACCATTAGACACTGTACTTCTCAAACTGCTGGTCTCTGGATCAGTGCTGGTCCATGAGCCATCAACTGCCAGGTCCTGGTGAACTTCCAGGAGAAGAAAAATGTATGTTAACTCTCACTAACACATTAACAAAAATAATTCCTAGCACCTTGCATCAGATAGCTTGAGATGTAGTGACCTACGGGATAATATATTAGAGCAACCATGTGCCTGTTCAAAGTCCTTTTGTACCTTCTTCTGTACAAAGAATGGCAGCTGTTCAAGATGCAGGTCTTCCACAAGCCCCTCTCAGTATTCTGTAGCACATGCAGAATTAATTCTCTTGGAACTGCAATGCTCTTATTATTCTGATGCACGTGTGAAGCCAAATGAGCAATGGTACACCAAATAATCTTCAGTGCAGATAGGAGGTTCAGCCCAGTAACATCTGCATTTCACATGTCTACGACCAGAGGCAAGCCCCATTGAGTTCAAACACATTTTACTTTTAGGTAAATGCTTTACTACTCGTAATAACTGAACAAAGCAATGGTTTTCCCCAACTTACTCTTGTGTAGTGCCATTTGCTCTCTAATAATTTTTCGTTGATGTTCTGCATGCATTCTCTCTTGTTGCTCTTCATACTCTGTTTTATATTCTTCAAAGGTTTCTGGGTTCACCCTCGGAGTTATGTGATCTACATCAGTTGCACAAACCATGTAATGTTGCTTCCAAGCTCCGTGTTCATTTTTCTCTGGAGTGTAGGGAAGAAACCAACCTAATGTAATACATTTTGGCATCCACAGACAATCCTGTGGGGAAGAAAGTCAAAAAGAAATACCTGCTTTAATTGATAAGCTCTTATTAAAAGGTTTAAAAAAAACAAAGGAAAGGAAAGCATGACTTCATCTTTTAATTAAAGCATAATGAATTGGCCTGGATCAGGTTTATAAGACAACTAGGGATTAGGAATCAGGATTTCAGCATGGATTCAAGAACAGAAATTAATGCCTCTCCCTTGTACCTGGTATGAAACTAATTCTTGAATTGAAATGAACCATAAACTCAGAGAATCTAAGTTTAAGAATGTAACTCTTTTTTTAAATCTTTTGATGTGGGTGTGAGATAGAGAAACAGGAAAGCAAGATTTAAATCCTATATTTCTGTATTATTTGTACTTATGAGATGCTTGTCAGATTATCTCCTGAAGATTATTTCTTGATTGCAGAGGAACTTTTTGGAGCATGTAAGAAATCATTTTGTGTGTATGTGTGTGTGAACTGTAAAATAAGATGCACGAAGCTGATTGGTCGGACTATGCCCGGGGAGCTGGCTGAGCCTGGAACTTTTGGATACTATTACATTTTTCAGGCTTGAGCTGTGCAGGTGCTTGCAGAGAAGCAGAAAGAAACAGACAGAGTGACAGTTTGGAGTGTGCTCCTGCTTCATGAGCTGCTGAAGGAAGATTTTCCACATAGACAAAGAAAGAACATTTTAAACCTCGCTAAAAGAACATTATGCAAGTCAATGCAACTGATCACATGATTGAACATATGTTGTTCTGAACTACGAAGAGTAAACTATTTGTTCTTTACTGATAATCTGCGTGGCATTTTTTTTCCTCTGGCAAGACAGTATGTGGGCTGATCAAGCATGAACTACATGTGGTTTATTTTACATTATGCCACAGAGCTTGGATCTGAGTACATGTGTAATACTACAAGTCAATAAAGATTTGGGATCAGGAGTCAGGCTCGCTGGAACTGCATGCTCTCTCTTTCTCTTATTCAAATGTGATTTCTTTGCTCCTGCACCCCTAACACCCGATTACCAGTCAATAACCCTAACTACAAGTCAATAAAAATGAGATCAGGAGTCAGGCTCCCTGGAACCACATGCTCTCTCTTATTCAAATGTGATTTCCACCAGGGTTGATAGGTGGCTCTTATGTTCATAGAAATATCAATCTGCCTTGGGTTCTAGTCTGGTAGTGCTATCTTAGGTACTGGACATATTTGCAGATGGTATGCAGCACCTAGGGCAGTTTTGTCAAAGTTCAGACTAATGTCTGAATTTACCACCTCCCTGGCATGGAAACAACCAGCTACAGTTAGCAAATAATTAGTCATCCTGCCTCAGCTTGATCTATCTCACAGGGTAGTTGTGACAAGAAAATAGGAAGAACATACACTTTCTTGATCAATTGGGCGGGGGGTGGGGGGGGGGTGGAGTACAACATAAATGTAACATAAACTAACAAATCATAGAGTTGGAAGGGACCACAAGTGCCATCCAGTCCAAACTCTTGCCATTCCGAAACAAAGAATCAAAGCACTCCAAAGAACAAGACTCCACCACACTCTGAGGCAGCAAAATCAAACAGCTCATATGACCAGGAAACTCTTCCTAATATTCAGGAAGAATCTCTTATAATTTGAATCCATGGGTACAGGAAAAGAGATTCCACTCAAACATAAGGAAAAACTAATAATAAAGCAGCCTGGCTTCATTAGTAAGCATAACTCCTATTGGGGAACTTTTGCTCTCTCGTAGAGTAATACAGGAGAAAGGAGGTGCAACATCTGAATGCTCTTCCCGTTGCTGTGAACCAGAGTTTGATAATATAATTTCATGAACAAGAACTGAAAAATTACCCCATCTGGGAGAAGCTGGACATGTAGTCCAAAAAGCTAACCTTCTATGATCCATGGCAGAAGTAGGGATGTGAAAAGTCTCTTCAGCATACATAATGTCAGAAGCAGAACTACAGCAATGCTGCTTGAAGAGGGTTGAAAGCCTCAATTGAAAGCACAGCAGCAATGTCCTGTTTAGTGCTGAATGAATACCTACAATTAGCTCTAATAAGGATCATAGGCAATCTGAGCTTACCTGTTCAGTTAAAAACTTCCAGTGCCAGCTGACCTGGGCTGCTGCACAAAGATCCTTCGGGTTGAGAAAGGAGAAGATATACAAAGATATGAATCGTGGCAGTAAAGTGGTGAAGTCCACTTTGATCACTGGGGTATTTTCCAAAAGCCATTTTTCAGCAAATCTGTAAAAGCAGGAGAAAGGGGGATATTCTAGCTGTTAACCCGGGGGGGGGGGGGGGGGGGGGGGGGGGGGGGGGGTTAACAGCTAGAAGTGTCAAGAGCGACTTGAGAAACTGCAAGTTGCTTCTGGTGTGAAAGAATTAGCTACCTGCAAGGAAGTTGCCCGGAGGACACCCGGATTTTTTATCATCCTGTGGGAGCCTTCTCTTGTGTCCCCGCATGAAAAGCTGGAGCTGTCAGATGGGGGCTCACCCCACTCCCCAGATTCAAACCGCCACAAAGGTTTAACCCATTGTGCCACCAGGGACTCCACTTTTTGGGTAAAGACTATGAAAACACTCTGATGTTTTCACCATCTTTGTCTAGGAAGTCATTAAATATCTGGTGGATTATCATTAGAACACACCAAAATATAAGACTACAATATTGGCTTGTTTCAAATTTTGAATAACCCATGGTTTGTTCTACTTATAGTTGAGAGCCCTACCATTGTTTTGATTTCTAAAAATAAGGAAGATATGACTTCCAGAACATTGGCAATCATATTCTAAGTTACTTTTCTATTTTTGTATTTTGTCTGCTCAGCATTCTGCTTTTTAATTTCCATTTCAATTAAAAACTAGCTACAGAGAATAGTTTCAGATCCTAATTCATTGGAGTACGGTTTATGCATCCCACTATTCCCTCAGGAAGCTCAGTGCAATTTCTCTGGATATTTGTGGCTGTTGAAAACTCAACACTATTTTGCAAGTTACAAATTGGCAGAGAAGTGCTTCTGAAAGATACTAAACAATATGATGCTCCGTGGTGAAAGACTAATTTAGTCTGTTGTGCCCTGGGGGACTTCAAATTATTTAAATATCTGCCTGAGAAGAACACCGTCACTATTCTGAAGTTACCATATCCAATTCCATCAAGTTTCACAAAATAAGGAGGATTGGATCAATACTGAGCTAGAAAACTCAAGGGTTCAATATAAGGAAGTGTCTTGTGTTCATAAAATCACATGATTTCAACTTGCACCAATTGATGGTAGTCCACAAACTCTCTCACACCACAAGTGACTTGCAGTTTCTCAAGTTGCTCCTGACACAGATTTTTTTTCTTTTTAAAAAGTTGGGTTGAATTGGATAGCCCTTGTGGCCTTTTCCAACAGCACTTGTTGCTCACTTACTTCACTTGTGATTTGTTGCATTTGATTAATATCTCATGGAGAAACTCCTTTCGCTGTTTGTCCGTCCACAGGTCAAACCAATGACTTATAAGCCTGATTCTTTCCTGAAAGAGCTAAACAAAACCATACAGTTCTTGTGAAGAATAGTTCCATTAGCACACAGCACGAGATCTTTCCATTTGCCACCTGGTTTCCCTGAAAACAGAACTTTTGTAATTCCCTCTCTCTTTAGAACACTATTGAACATCAGACTCAGTCTTGGCTGGTTTATGGTTCTTCTGGAAAGGCAAAGTCAGCATTCCTAAATTTCCCCTGACACTCATCTTTCTCCGGGAATCTCAAGAAACTGTGGCTCCCATGGCAGGAAGCTGCCTCAGTGTTATTGCTGTCATTGTTCCAAGCAGCCTTTATCCCTGAGAGAAGGATGAAAAACACATCATTTGGACACTGAAAACACTTCCTCTAATTATACCTCCAATCTCACTCCCACCAAAAGGAAATCAACTACAAGTTTGTGAAGACGCAAGTTGCTTTGTTTCTGTGTGAGGATGCAAGTTCTAATAGCTCCAGAGACTTGGATTCGTCACTGCAGGAGGATGGGAAATGATCCATGCATATCCTCTCACTATTGTGAGGCCAAAAAAAAAAAAAAGCCCTTTTACTATTGTAACTGAAAGCTATGGCAATGATGCATCCTTTTGACTTCTAGCTCAGTTTCATGCTGTGTTTTGTAAGTGCTGATAGATATCCATATTGTAAGAGCGTATTGGTTGCTTTTTTTAAAGTCCCACTCTTATTCTGAATTAAGATATTTCCTGTATTGATTACATGGATCATTTCACTGATTCTGTTTTAATAGAGGTTGTTATATCCAATGTATATGCCTGGTTTATGTAATGTTATTATTGCTTTCATGTTGATGTATTTTATTTTATTTATTACATATTTTATGTATGGCATCTTTGTGTGCTATTTTGTAAGCCGCCCTGAGTCCCTATGGGAGATGGTGGCATGGTATAAATAAATAAATAATAAAAATTATTATTATTATTATTTTACTGACACGAAAACACAGTATGACACAGCAAATTATATATATATATATATATATATATATATATATATATATATATATATATATATATATGTGCTGGATTTTGTATGACAAAATCACAAGTCGAACACTTCCAAAGTGTTTAGGACTGTATGGTATATTTTTGAATGATGCACACAGATCCAAGTGAGGTGGCCTTTTGCAGCTGACGGATTGTGATTTTGTCAATGTTTATTGTTTCCAAATGCCAGTTGAGATCTTTTGGCTCGGCACCCAGTGTGCTGATTACCCCTCGATTGGTGCTACCTTGTCATTGTGGGGGGCTTAATTGCTCCAAGGATGCTGAGAGCTGTGCTGGCAGTAGTGTAACTACCAGCAGGTCCAACCAAGTCAGAGAGGTCTCAGCTGAAGAGTGGAACTAAGAGCACCTAACCCATTAGCACTATGGAGAAACAAACCAAAAACGAAGTCTATACTGGCTCGGTCAATGCCCAGGATAAAAAGGACAGCAGTGGATGCTGCTGGTTCTGGACATCCATCAACAAGTGGGCTACAGAATCAAAGTACAAACTAACAGTTACAGAAGCAGCAGAAATATGCAATGCCAGAAAATCGCATTATTATTATTATTATTATTATTATTATTATTATTATTATTATTATTTTCTGTTCACTATGGGTTAGGTATGTAAAAGAAAATGTTATTTTTTTTCAGAACAGAGTTGGGGGCACTAAGGAAAAAAAATGATAATCTGATGTTTTTTCCACAGAAATTCCTACTCAGTGAACAGATGAGAAAAGTCGGAGCAAATGGGAAAGTATTGGCAAAACAACACTTATATCCAAAATGGAAAGTATTGGCAAAACAACACTTATATCCTAGTCCTGTCTATATTGCAAGTGTTCAGAATGTAACGCATCGGTAATGTTAAGGGCTTCTTCAGAACTGTTAAAATATGTTAACAGAAGGCACATTGAGCTGGTGGAACAAAGAGGTTATCCAGAATGTCTCAAAAAGGTTTCTAGCATCGCTGCTCTTTCGTGCCTTTTTCCAGTTAAACAATAGAGATAGCAACTACTAGGAGCAATTGTATAATTTTGTACAGGAAAAATGCCTTCTGAATATTAAAAAAAACTTCTAGCTGTTTTCTTTAAACTACATTTTGTTGCAGTAAAAAAACTGAAGTAGGATGTTACACTATTCTATAGTTAAAAGTACTCAATTGTACCAGGAGTCTAGCCTTATTCCTTACCTCAAGGACAATGGTATTAAGCAGTTGAGGGTATAAATCATGTAAAAAAATCTCTTCAGTCAATTGTCAAGATTTATTGCAGGCATATGCTAAGTTACTAGGCCTGACAATAGCTAATGTTTGAAACTGAATAGTTGTTATTCCCAAGGAGATATTTGGATGGAGTCAGGCAGTGAGGTGAATGGACTCAAATCATGTTACACTGGATTCTAAAGGCAGCTACTGGTCTACAATGACACTTACATTCTTATTTTAATTAAGATAGTGTGAATGGATATCTATGGAGACTGAGGGAAAGGGAGTCATGTAATCTATGGAAGGAGCAACTAAGATGTTTACCAAAAACAGTGTGATTTAGATGTAATATAAAAGGGGACTTAGCAGGCACTTTGAATCGTGCTCAGAAGTGAAATAGTAACCAGTGAAGTTGTTTCAACAAGTGTTTTATATCTTCCAATAACTAACCCCAGAGATTGAGACCCCGATGAAGTTTCCAGTTTCCAAATATAGCCTCATGTAGGGTCTGTTACAGTAGTTCAAATGGGATATAATAAAGACTTGTGTCAGTGTGAATTGACATGGTTAGCACAGAAGCTCTAATGTACTTCTGACCATCACTGAAAATGGGCATCCAGGCTCAAGGCTGAGTCCAGAAGAACACCCAAAATGTGAGTCTGAGATTTCAGAAGCCATTTAATCCCACCCAATCTGTTTAACGACTAACCGGGAACACCTCTGTCTTGTCTAGATTTGGTTTCAATTTGTTCACCCTCATCCAGTCCATTACCAGTGGCAAACATTGGCTTAGTACCAGAACAGCTTCCTTGAAATTAGTTGGGAAATAGACGTAGAGGGATAGAATTTGGTATCATCAGACTGTTGTGGACATCAAACTCCCAAACTGCAGGTAATCTTTCCAGTCTCATGTTGTAGGGGCACAAACCTGAGTCCTAAAGGATCCTTGAAACCAATGATAATGTATTGAGCAAGAAACTTGCGGCAGCCCCTCTAACATCTCTCCTCAAAGCAGGACTGAGACTATGCCAAATAGTACAACCAAGTCCATTCCAATGATATCCATTTCAGAAGAATATCATTCAGAGGGATATCATGGTCCAGCACAATCAATAAGGACAAACTTGCCCACCAGAATGCCCAGAGTTGTCTTTCTCCCAAAGCTAGTCTTGAAGAAAGATTGAATTTTTTTGTTTATTAGTTCAGTCGCTTCCGACTCTTTGTGAACTCATGGACCAGCCCATGCCAAAACTCCCTGTCAGCCGTCACCATCCTCAGCTCCTTCGGAGTCAAGCCAGTTGCATCCATCCATCTTGACCTTGGTTGGCCCCTCTTCCTTTTTCCTTCCATTTTCACCAGTGCCATTGTCTTCTCTAAGCTTTCCTGTCTTCTCATGATGCGGACAAAGTACTTCATCTTTGCCTCTAATATCCTTCCCTCCAATGAGCAATTGTATGGACTGGTTGGATCTTCTTGCGGTCCAAAGAACTCTCAGAATTTTCTTCCAGCACCACAGTTCAAAAGCTTCTGTCTTCCTTCGTTCTGCCTTCCTTATGGTCCAGCTCTCAAATCCAAAGGTTACTACGGGGAATACCACTGCCTTAACTATGCGGATCTTCTAGATAATTCATTATATCCAGATACCACTGGTGATAGGTGACTACTACTTGCTCTAGAACAGAGGTAGGCTACTATGGAATGCATTGTTCCTCGGGAGTTTTGGATTTTATTTTACTTCTGGGAAGCCCCAAAAACAGTCCCATGCAAACCACAGACTGCATTTTGCCTACTAGAACCTTGTCCAAAAAAGATATTGGAGACTTATAGGTGAGACTCTAGTGTGGTGGGAATCAGGGGATGCTTTTTTTCAGTTACAGCCTCATTGCAGTTTTTTTAAAAGACAAGTTGGGAAGCCACAGTGAGGCATTCATTACTCCCTCACTCACACCCATTTCCCCTCTGGCTGCTTTTAAAAGAAAAGGCACAGATCCAATATGCACATTGTGGATCTCATCTCTCCAAAGATCCTGTCCATATCCTCACGATACACAAACTGAAACACCTCCAATAACACAACAGGAGCAAGAGACAAGAGCAAGAGACAATTTACATCTTCTGGACCAACACAAACAATGGTAATTATGAGCAATTTTGTCTGCAAAACATTGTGCAAATTCTTCACAGTACTTTGTCCAGTCGTCTGCATCCACTTAAAATAGAATAGAGTACAGAAAGCCCCTAACCACTCAAGACGCCTCGTTTAAGCTATTTGTGTGAGTTTAGTAAATTGTAACTTACCTGACTGTTAAGAGATTTGTTTTCAATAGGTGTCCATGTGCTGAATCGTGTATGTAGAAGTTCCATTTTCTGGATCTGGTCTGAGGACTTTGGGCCTCTAGCAAAAAGCCCTAAACTTTCCAAATGCCATTGCTTAATACTGTGAGGTATAGATGATGTATACAGTGTGGCCATTGTAAAATCAGTTACACAGATTCCGCGGATAATAGTTCTGTTATATATTTCAGATAGGCTAGATCTGTCCTGGAAATAAAAGAAGGGTGTGACTTCTTCCTGGAGAATAAATTTTGCATCTAGATTGTGATCTTAATACTCAAGGCATCTCATTGATAACATCTTGGAACATTTTGAATGTGCATTTCATTTATCTCCAAGATTGTCTTGCTTTCCTGTTTATATTAACAGTATAAAAGATTCTAATTAACCTGCACTGGTGGGATTGTAATTGAAATAAATTCTACCCTAACACACTTTTGAGCAGCAGTGACAAAGAAGTAAAATAGTCTTTCATTAAAATTGAGTAAATTTATAACAAGACGATGAATTACAAAAGTTGACAGATTTTACAAATAATCCATGTTGCAAATATTTGTTATATTTGCATATTGTTGTGCAGATTGATTCTCTCTCTTTAAAAAAAAATCTTTAATTTTTGGTTAAGTGCTAAAGTACAGAATGCTGTCTTTCTCTGGGTTGGTCAATCCACTGTATGAGACGTTTTCCTAGAAATCACCCTGGCCATGGAAATGCTCCTTCTGCATCATACCATTTACCTGGGGATGATCATGAGATGCAATTGCTGGTCCCACACCGTCAAACTTACTACCAGTTTATTGGCAGCAGTCTGAGATCTAGACATATGCATTGTCAGTCCAGCCATTTCTTCCCAATGCTATGCCTGTTAATCGGATAATGGCATCAATTGTCAACCCCATACACAGCAGCTATGTAGTCCATAGATTTCCTTATTTATGTGGAAAGGCAATCCCTCTCTCTCCTTCCTCCCCCTTTGCTGCCAGGAGATAACATACGAGTCCATGAGCTGTGATTTCCCCCAGGTGGTGGGGGCAGTGGATGGGTCCCTCTCGGGGTGAGAAAAGCGGCATACAAATACTGTAAATAAAATAAATAAAATGGGTGCCATTTCCTGATCATGTCACTAGTGAGACAAAGGGGACAATTTATCAACAGGCAGTAGATACACTCAACATTAGCTATGGAGCATATGGTGATATGGCACTCCCCACTATTAATCCTTGCATATCAAATTTAAATTATTATGGGATACATTCTTGATTTTAATGCTTCTTTGTGGAAAGATGAAACTACACTTTTTGTTCATTTATCTAAGAAAGAGCAAAAATATGACCTCCTGCCATTTCTGAAATATGGAGTAACAAAGCAAAATAATGTATATTCTAGATGCTGTACCCCATGTGAACAGGCAATCAGAACAGTAGTCCCTTACCTGAAAAAAGGATGCTCCTCTCCATGACAGGAGAGCACTGGAGACCTACTGTGTGAAAGCAGAATTGCTGTAGGACGGGCTGAAGGTCAAAACCTCGCTCCATCTCCATAGGAACCAAAGTGCACAACACAACACACGCTAGGCTTCTTGCCAAGATTGGCTGAGGCAGGACTGAAGGAAAGGGATTCTTTTATCACTCTGTACGAATTATGAACTAAACTGCATTGAACTTTTAGTGCCATGAAATGTATGACTATCACACATTTAAATTTAATTAGGCTGCAGCATTTCCTTTACATTTGCATTTTATGTAAACCAGCAGATAAAGTTTGTCCTGGAATAGAGATCCAGAAATGGGCAAAGTTCCACCCATTGATTTTTGACTTTTATTTAGTTGCTGTAGCAGGGGTGAGGAACATCTGGCCACATGTTGAAATCCGGGAAGTGGGGTGAGCTCCTGCTGTTAGCCCCAGCTTCTGCCAACCTAGCAGTTCAGAAACATGCAAATGTGAGTAGATCAATAGGTACTGCTCCAGCGGGAAGGTAACAGCCCTCCATGGAGTCATGGCAGTCACATGACCTTGTCTACAGACAATGCCGGCTCTTCGGCTTAGAAATGGAGTTGAGCACAACGCCCCCCCCCCCCCCCGAGAGACAACTAGACTTAATGTCAAGAGGAAACCTTTACCTTTACTTTTTAATAACCTTACAATTATTTCAAAAATCTTTAGTAAAATAAGATTTGCAAGAGAAACTGTGAAGTAAAATCCTTCCCAGTTTTGTCTGAAATGCATGCCATAAGAAAGAACAAAATCTCATATGAATGATTTCAAGTGAAAAAAACCAATTGTTTGAAATTATTTTATTGCTAAAATAAATTACACACTTATTTAACAGCTTCACGACATCAACTTGATTGCTGATTGTCTACACTGTGGAAAAGGCAGTAGATACACTACAATTTATTACTGGCTTAACCAAAACTGAGAATATTATAAAAATGCACTTTCAGGTTATTCCAACATTTCATGGTAGATAAGGCCATAATACAAAGCATAGCAGCAAGAGACAGGCATATTGTACCTTAAACGTCAACCCTGACAAAGTTGCAGCACTCACATCTGCTAAGAGGAATGTGTGAACATATTCACTTGTACTTTGATGTTTTGTTGCAAAAGCAAGAAGGAGTCCACTGCAAATCAAATAAGACACCCTGGCATTCCAAAAACAAACAAAAAAAAGCTGAATTTTTAGGTTGTGGTGGCATTCGGAACATCTTGAACATCTGCCAAATGAAGTTTTTGTCTGAAATAAGCCGTCAAGGAGTTGTGCTTTTCTGATATTATTTACTTTGGAGAAAAACAATATAAAAATGGCTGAAGAATCAACTGTCTTGAAGTTGAAGCAGGGACACAAGGAAATAGGCTCCCTGTTTGTATGTTTGTTTTTAATATATGGACACTTTTCCCCACTCTTCCTCCAAGGATCTCAGAATGGGAAATACAATTGGCTCTTCATAACCATAGGCTCTCCATCCATGGATTCAACCAACCATGACGCAAAAAATTTTTTTTTAAAGATCTTCAGGTTCTCTCAGGCATGTCTTTCAGTTGATTGTCATTTGTCCACAGAGATCCTGCAATGAAACCCTGGTGGATACTGAGGGCCACTATAGTTCCCTACAAAAACTACCTGTGATATAGGTGAGTCTCATAAAACATACACATTGTGTTAAACCAAGAGTTTGACACTGCATGATTCTTTGAAATATCTAATGACAGCCACAGAGAGAATTACAGCCAAGAAATTTAAGAAAAACACTACCTTCCAGCTTCTGGGAAATAAGCCCAACAAGACCATCTCAGCTAATATTTGGCTATACAAGACTCTGCTTTTACCCAGTGCCAAACTGGAAACTTGGGGGACGGTTTGAATTTAATCTAATTTCTTTACTTCTTAAAATTAAGACCTAATTCTCTCTGTATACCCCACAGCTATTTAAAACTTGTTTGTTTTTAAAATAAAAGTGTACTTGCCCAATTATGCATGTAAGTCAGCTTTGTGGCTGCTGCATGTGCATATGTGTATCACACATGTGTATCTGGCCCTTTCAAGTTTGAGTCAACACTCTAACCACGAGATTACACCACTGTTCCTCAAATTATTACTGTAGAATTAGAACAAGCAAGAATACAACACAGAACCACTGAGAAAACATATTTCTGTGTGAAATTCCTTGCTTCTTTCTAAGCAAATTTTCATAATTCTCTCTTTCTCCTTTAAAAAAACATTTTGCATATATTTAGCTACATTACTTAACTGATTTAAATAATTACATTTCCTTAAGGCTGGAGGTATATAAATATTTTATACTTCTGTCAAACTACTGGAAAGTTTGCGAATCTCCATATGACAGAGAGGCAAAGGAAACCTTACAGAGCACTTTTCAATCCTGCCCTCTCAGGAAGAAAGCCTCTTCTGGCAATTTGGCTCACCACTCACATACTAGAGAACTCATACACAGAATGAGACTTAACCCTTCGTCTTTTTGAATTACTAATGCAAAATTATTTGCAAACAAACTTTAAAACATATCACATTTGTAGGCTAAAAATGGGCTTTAAGGGTGCTTATACTTTTTCATCTATTTTTGTCATGACAGTGAATTTCACCAAAAGGATACATAGAAGAATTCAGTTCTTCCAGCTGCAACACAAGAAAACAGAAAGAGTTGAATCTGGCGTTCCATTAGTATATTATCTGGACACTTAATTTTCAAGTTATTGGCTCTAGCCTAGAGTGTTCCTTCTATGAAGTAAAGTGCTACTTCCACTTCATTCACAGAAGGAACCTGATGAAGGAAAAAAACCTGAAGCCCCTAATATGGTTATTTGCTTGTACTGTCCTAGGGAGTCCTCCAATTTCTACAACCTTTCTGTATTTCCTTTAGAACAGAGCTTCTTAAACCTGGGGTCCTCACCCTATTTGGGGTCCCTTAACTAAATCTGGGGGTTGTGACAGGTGCCACCCTCTCCTGCCCCACCTCTTCTTCTTTTATAAAGAAGACTGGAGATCTTATCAGTCTCTTCCCCCCTACAGAATGCTAACATTGGGGGTCTCTTCCAATGCTATCATTCTGTAATTCAGAGGCTGGATCATTTGGGAGGGCTTTGACTAGGTGGTCATGCATGGCAGAAATGGGGTTGGACTTGAAGGTCTTTGGTGTCTCTTAGAACTCTAGAATTCTATTGCTCTTATGATGGGAACAAGATGGAGGTGGATATTGGTCCATTTCAGGCACATGGTCCACTCTGCAACTTGGGATCTTTTAACTTAGAGGTATGGACCCTCTAAGCACCCTTTATGAGCCCCCAATTCAGAACAAAAGAAGAAGAATCAACAGAGCATTTCCTGCCACTTGAGGCTGTCAATCAAGTATTCCATTACTGCTTGAAAAGTTTTGCTCTACATCCTGCATTAGTATGCAAATAGGGTTTCATCTTTAATAAATGGTAAAATTATATGTCTAACAAATAACTGTTTTAAAATACATTTATGTTTTATTGTCAATAAATGCTTAACTTGTATAACTATTGTATATGCCTCAATACCTGGGGGTTATGCAAACATTTCTCCATCAAGGTGGAAGAAAAAGTTTAAGAAGCCTAGCTCTAGAAGAGCACCCCTTATGGAAACTTTGACTGAGCCTGACAGTAGCACATGAGAATTAGTGCAGAACTAAACTCAAGCTCACAAAAATAAAAGCAAAGATCAGTGTTACTGTTTTCAGAATTCTTCTGGTCAAGCTAGCAAATGGATTACTCATTCAATTCAGTGCTACAACTTTCGGAACAAAGTGAATCTAGCCATATTCTCAGTGTTGCTTAGGCAGCAGTTGGAGAAGTACATCATTACAACTTTCACTCAGTCCTACATATTCCTGTGTGAAATTTCAAAATGCAGATATAGCTATGCGTGACAGATGCTTTCTGTTTTGTACTTACATCTGACAATAGTCGATCCAAATTGGAATCACTAGCTACTTTTCTCTTATCTTCAGGAAGTTCCTCCAGCTCTCCATAAAGCTCCAAGTTCAAGCGAGCCAACTTTTCCTGCATTCCTCTTACATGTTCCATTTGCTCTATGGAGCATTCATTTCCTGAAGTAATCATAAGAATGCAAGATGTAGTCAGAAACTTGACAGTATTAAAAGAAGAAACTACATTTTCTATTGTGCCTGTATGAAAATAAAAAAAATGCTTTTGCTCAAAGCAGATCCCAGACTGTACATAACAGGTGTTTAAAGTATTGTAAGGAACATCTTTGCATAACATTCATGATGAAGATACAAAAGTTATCTCATCTACATGAAATTGATGTTTGTTTTTACTTTGCAGTCAAAACGAAGGTCATTCTAATGCCTCTTTCTAAAACTGTCCTCATTTATGTTACCATGTTTACACTCTATTTGAAGCCATATCTTCCCCTGTTCATATTTATCAATGTTTATATTTGAAATAACTATTTCTTTTTGGGAAAAGGTGTAATGTGCTTACCAAATGCTTGAAGTTTGCCAGAATGGAAGTCATTTAGAAGACTCAGAAGTCCTTTTTCCATCTCTTGAACATCTGACACATCAGTGAGAAATGAATGCTGGATTGGAGCCGATTGTGCGCCTTTGTTCTCTCCTCCAGGTGCTTTGGCTTTCTCTTTCATGCCTCTGAGGGGAAAACATTTATATTAGGCTCTCATGAACACCTCAGCAAATTTTCTCTACAGAAAGCCATCCTGGGACAAAATAATACATACATATTAATTATTCCATCATGTTATAGACAAAGTTAATTCATGATTTAGAATAACAGCATCTGAAGCTAAAGGTTTGGCAACAAGACGGTGCAAACCACTTCCCTTATCAAGAGGAAAAATAATGTTTCTGTTCTCTTTGATTCATGGAAGGCATTCCAGAATCTTAGGGAAGATCCTTACACAGGAGGCAGAAAATTCTATGATAGGCTCACTGCTGACTTGGTGACACAGTGGCTGTAGACTAAAATATGAGGATTTTGCACTAAAAGACCTTATAGCTCTGAGTAACAACCAACCCAGTCTCTTCTTGCTCCTATATGTGCCCCTATTATGCCAGCTGCTTACAAAGTGAGCCCCTTCAAATAAAGAGTCACGTGGTAAGTGTTCTGCATGCTCACTGGGGGACTAAAAATGAAGACGGGGCAGCATAAACATCTACACACACTTTCTTATAATATCATTGTCCTTTCAATCTCCCCGTATTAAGTAGGAAGACATATGATGGTTTCCTATCTCTGTTTGCCTGAATCTGACTATCAATCAATTTCAGACTTCCTGCCTAAACACAGGTCCCTTCCACACAGCTGAATAAAATTCCAAATCTTCTGTTTTGAATTGGAATATATGGCAGAAAACAGATATTGTGAGATTTTCTGCCTTGATATTCTGGGTTATATAGCTGTGTGGAAGGGCCCACAGAAAAGTTTGGAAATCAGTGGAGTACTTTACAGGCAGGGCTTGAATGTGTGCACCCCTTCTTACTTTGCATTCTTATGAAAGCAGGCTGAACGCCTGTAAAGAGCATCTGTCTTGTACACTTGAGGGTGAAATGCAGGCATCAGCAGTATAACTTGATGTCTCTAGAATGTTCTTCATAGTAAAAGGAGAACATAGTTTGCTAAATCATCATTATTCAATATGCTTATCACCTTCATTACTTTAAGCCACTATTTGTTTCAGATTAACGTTTAAAGGACTCTGAATTCTGAAAATATACAATACCTGAATTTCCAGCAAAATGTAAGTCATGTCAATTAATGTAACCAACCTAGGATATATTTTCTTGTCATATAACATACAGTATTAATTTGGGGTAAAAGCACTGCCTCACAGATAGATATTAGGAGAAGGCTTATGATTTATTTCTTCTGCAAGACATTTCAAATAAATATTGTGCTTGTTTTTCGTAAGTCTAGTTTGTTTTGCTACTCTTTAGAAACTTGTTAATATTTGTTTTTATATGGCCTTGTCTGCTGTGTTTGTGTGAGAAATATTTTGTAAATAAAACTAGATGATACCACTTAGTTTCTTTTAAAATACTTTCTTCTTACTAGAACTGCAGTAGTATAGGATGATACTCCTTCAAAATCTATTTAGGAACAAGATCTACCAGGTAAGCTGGAATGCAGCCTCCACCTCCATGTATCATTTACTCCTGCCCAACAACTATATGGTCCTCAGTCTAGTTAGCTTTGATTTCTAACAGCAAGTAACATATCAGTGCTTACTTCTTAAACTTTGGTTTCTGTAAAGGTGGCTGGGGTGCAGGATTTGAAAATGCTGCACTTTTACTTGGAGGAACTGAGTTTTTCTTATTGTTGACAACCTGAGTAATATGAGAAGTAGATGACTTGGGACTCCTCCTCTTGGATTTTCTTTCTTCCATTTTGACAGATCACTGTTGTGCAATATGTTAATGTTCTTCTACAATATCGGAGAGGATAGTTATCTGCTTTCTGGAAAAGGAAAATTAATATAAATAAAATACTATTATACAGGCAGAGTTACAAACATCCGACTTACAAAAGACTCATGGTTAGGAACAGGGCTGAGACAACAAAGTGTGAGAAATATGCCCCTTGGAAGGAAATTTACTCCTGAATTAGTTATTATGGGGAAAAGGGGTCTCCACTAAAGTTTTATCACAAATCCTTGTTTCTACAACAAGCATTTTTTTTCAAAATCAAATTATCAGAGAGACAGGAAGTGCTGTGAAGTCTTCTGAACAGAGGCATAGATGTGTTCCTGTGCATTACTTCTTCAACAAAACTTCTTCAACATAAACAATGGTACCAGAGAGAGAAAAAATATTGAAAGAACAGGTTCCTGCATCACAAAATAGAAGAACAGATCTTAATGTGTTTGGATGCTCCCCTCACATGAAGGAGCTGTGTGTATGTTGTATAGGCACATATCAACAGTCTCTCCTTAGACTCTTTAAAGACACTGTTGGGAACGGATGATATATAGAGCAGCAGCAGCAGCAGCAAACCATCACCATCAGGCAAGACCTTGCAGCAGCTCTCAATGCATGACGAGTGTTCAAAAGGGGAACGGAGACAAGGTTATCGTATCATCTTGCCAATGGACAACTCTGACAAGTCTGTTTTTCAGAAGCTAGAGTAAGCATGGGCCAACTTCAGCCCTCCTTCCAGGCTTTTTGGATTTCAACTCCCACAATTCCTAACAGCCAACTGTGGGAGCTGAAATCCAAAACACCTGGACTTAGGGCTGAAGTTGGCCCATGCCTAAGCTAAAGATGTAATGTTTATATATGTTTTAATGTGTTTTAAATTCTATCTTAAATTGTTTATTTTAATTGTACATTGTTTTAAGGCATCGAAAAAAATGCCTATGTGTAAAGCCACTTTGAGTCCCCTTTGGGGTTGAGAAGGGTGGGTTATAAATATGGCAAATAGATAAATAAACAACCACATAAAGTGTTAAGAATCCTTATAGTTTTTTGCTACTCTGTACCAATTCTGTACAGAGTAGCAAAACCTTAGAGAGGTCAAAGTGAGCCACACATATGAGATCTGGAGTTCAAAAGTAATCTAAGCCAAGCCATTTTGAAGACATCCAGAGGAAATCCACAATCTTTCTGGGCCACTGAGTCCCAATCTTTGAATATTGTAAGAGTTTTGGACTTCATCTTCCAGAATTCCCAACTGCTGACTAATCCAACTAGGGCTTCTGGGAGTTGTAGTCCAAAACACCAGGATAACCAAGTTGGGGAACCTCTGCAATTGGCTCATTGCTGAATTACAATTAACTGCCAAAACACCATTTGTAACATTCAACTGAAATCTACCCTCCTGCAAATTCAAACCAGTAATACATAAAGAGGAATTTACAGAACTATACATACAGGAGTCTCATACATGTAAGTTTTTTCTTTGAAGAAAAGAAAATCTATACCTCCTCCCCCCAATTAAAAAAATCCACTGCAAGCTTATAAATTGACGTGATCGTAACAGGCCTGTCTAATTTAATGTTCAATCCCTTTTTTTATGTGACAGTTGAAAATGTCCCAAAAGTCTATAATTCTTCAAAGCTCATCTTCCCAAATCACTATTAATTAAATCAAATACCACCCTGAGTCCACAAAAGATAAAAGGTAAAGGTTTCCCCTTGACATTAAGTCTTATTGTGTCAAATTCTGAGGGTTGGTGCTAATCTCCATCTCTAAACTGAAGAGTCGGTGTTGTCCGTAGACGCCTCCTAGGTCATGTGGCTAGCAGGACTGCATGGAGTGCTGTTACCTTCTTGCTGATGTACTCACATTTGTGTGTTTTTGAACTGTTAAGTTGGCAGAAGTTGGGACTAACAGCGAGAGCTCACCCTGCTCCCTAGATTTGAACTGCCAACCTTTCAGGTGAGCGAGTTCTGCAGCTCAGCGGTTTAACCCACTGCACCACCAGGGGGCCGTCCACAAAAGTGTGATACCTTTATTGGGCCAATCAAAACATGCACAAAATGCAAAACTTTGGAACCTCCACCTGCTTAAGGTAATATATAATAGAGTCATAGAATCATAGAGTTGGAAGAGACCTCATGGGCCATCCAGTCCAACCCCCTGCCAAGAAGCAGGAAAATTCATTCAAAGCACCCCTGATAGGTGGCCATCCAGCCTCTGTTTAAAAGCTTCCAAAGAAGGAGCCTCTACCACACTCTGGGGCAGAGAGTTCCACTGCTGAACAACTCTCACAGTCAGGAAGTTCTTCCTCGTGTTCAGATGCAATCTCCTTCCTTGTTGTTTGAAGCATTATTCCAGGTCCTAGTCTCCAGGGCAGCAGAATACAAGCTTGCTCCCTCCTCCCTATGACTTCCTCTCACATATTTATACATGGCAATCATGTCTCCTCTCAGCCTTCTCTTCTGAAGGCTAAGCATGCCCAGCTCTTTCAGCCGCTCCTCATAGGGCTTGTTCTCCAGACCCTTGATCATTTTAGTCGCCCTCCTCTTTCAGCTTGTCAATATCACTCTTCAATTGTGGTGCCCAGAATTGGACACAATATTCCAGGTGTGGTCTGACCAAGGCAGAATAGAGGGGCTGTATGCTGTCAACCAGATGACAACATACAATAATATCCAAACACGACATCAGTGTGGTGGATTTGGGATGTTACCATATTGCAATGCGGGATTATTACCATGCTGTAGGGCCAACACCCTTGATATGATTACTATGAACTAAGTGCGCATCTACACTGTCAAATTAATGCAGTTTGCCACCACTTTAACTGCTATGGCGTCCTGGGGTTTGCAGTTTGGTGAGGCACCGGGAAGGCTGAAGAGCTCAGTGGTTCTCATCCTGTGGGTCCCCAGATGTTTTGGCCTCCAACTCCCAGAAATCCTAAAGAGCTGGTAAACTGACTGGGATTTCTGGGAGTTGTGGGCCCAAACACCTGGGGACCCACAGGATGAGGTCCACTGAGCATGAGAATCTACAACTCCCACGATCCCATCGCACTGAGCATTCATCCATTCATTCTGCAGTGGCCGCTTAAGCAGCTTCCAGACCCCACCCGCTCAGGCTGGGAGGGCTCACCATAGAGGCCTCGTCCTGGGTCAGCGTCTAGCTCCGGGGGCGAAGCCTGGAGAATCTGGCCGAAGCAGGCCTCCGTCGTCCGAGCCGAGGCTTTGGAGCCAAAACAGCGGGGGAGGGAGAGAGGAGGCGGCGGACAAGGACTTCCGGGTCCGTCATAGAAAAGCGTCCCTCGTGCCCAGCCAAGGCGGGAACCGGAAGTCCTTGCTCTTTAGCCTTTCTCAACACCCAGGGTAGGGTTTGCTGGGCAGAGAAGGCTAAAAATACTTTAAAACAGTCATGGGTCAATTTGGGCCTTCTGGATGTTTTGGACTCCAACTCCCACTATTCCTAACAGCCTCAGGCCCTTTCCTTCCCCCCCTCAGCCGCTTAAGCAGAGTGGAAGGGACCAAAGTCTATTCAGCATTTTTTTTTTAGAGTGAAAGGCTATATGGCGAATAAATTCAAAAACAGTCAAATTAGTTTCAAATATCAGTATTTTGTAATACTTTTGGGATTAACCGGGAAAAGTAATTCGGTAGCATAAGATGACAAAGACTTAAGTCCGCTTCATAGGCAGCCTATGAAAAACTATGCTACCAACTTCTTTTTCTCACTTTCAAAAGTGCTGCGAGGTCCCTTTGCATACTAAAACACCCATCTCCCATACCTAGAGGGGGACGGTGGGCATTGTAGTCCCAACATAATCTGACAGCATGAAGGAAGGGGAAGCAGATTTTGATTCTACTGATGAGACTCTAATGATTTGTTATATTGATGCTCAACTGTTTATTGTGCCACAGTTTTAACTGTCCCTTAATTGTTTTTATGATGTTTAGCATTGAATTTTTGCCTAAGGGTTGAGAAAAGCGGTATATAAGTGAAGTAAATAAATAAATAAATAAGACTTGCAGTAGCCCTTCACGTCATTTCTGATTTATGGTGATTTTTCTCAGGCACGTTTGTTAAGATGGAGGCCTCATCTGAGGCTGAGAAAGAATGACTTGCCCAAAGTCACCCAGTGGGTTTTCGTGGCCAAATGGATATTAATGTTTGACCTCTGCATTTTCATGTTAGTCTGATCTGCTTTTTTGAGAGAGCACCACATGGCTAGTAAATTCAAAAACAGCCAAATCAGTCTGAAATATTAGTATCAAAAAAGATCAGGTAGCACCTTTGAGACTGAGAGAAAGATGTTAGTAGCATATACTTCCATAGATTTAAATCTGCTTCATAGACTGTTGCTACCAGCTTCTTTCTCTCAGGCCCCTTCTGCACTGCCATATAAAATCCAGATTATCTGTTTTGAACTGTATTATATGACAGTGTAGACTCATATAATCAAGTTCAAAGCAGATAATGTGGATTATATGATTTGATAATCTGGATTATTTGACAATGTGGAAGGGGATGTAGATGGGGCCTGAGAGTATGGCTTGTCCCATGTCATCCAACAGCCCAATACTTAAACCCACTACACCACATTGGATCAATTTGTTCCCACATGTACAATAACATGTGCCTCAGAAGGGGGCACAGAAAGTGGTGTAAGAGGCTATATCAGAAGCTTAAAGTGAAATCATGCATGTGCAGAGTTTTGCCGCCTTAAAAGTAATGCTACTTTTAAAAAATTGTGAATTCAAGACAAAAAATAGGTATGAACTGTCTTGAGCCTCTCTCACCAATATGTACAAGCTGTGTACTAAAGGGTCTAAACCAAATGTGAAACAAAATTTAGAGTTAGGTTTTTGCAATAGCCCTGCCATTGCCTTATAAGAACATAGTTAACTTTCTTTATTTAATGTAATTTAAGGGGTTAAAATTGACCTTTTACCTGTCAGTTCTTTATTTGTTTATACTGTTCCAAATATCAGAGATTTTACATTTGTTATAAGTTTGAACCAAAATGAATCTATGAACTACTATTTTAATTTATTTAGTGTAAATGTAATATTTTGACTTTAGGGCAAAACAAACAAGTAATTTTGCATCACCACTGAGTACTGGGAAGCCCAGGCCCTTGAGCGCTCTAGGTGAAGGATAGCTGTGATCAGCAGTGCTGTGGAATTTGAAGAGGCACAAATGGAGGGTGAAAGGGAGAAACGTGCCAAAAAAAGGCGTGTCAAGCCAACCCCGACCGGAACCACCTTCCACCTAGAAATCAATGTCCTTGCTGGGGAAGAACATGTGGGTCAAGAATAAGGGTCTACAGTCACCTACGTATCCACCACCAAGACCTTAACTTGGAAGGCCATCATACTCGGACAACGAAGGATCACCTAAGTAAAGTGTACAGTAGGAAGAAAATTTAGTTCATATTCATGTATTAACATTTCATTAAGAAACCAAAACATGATTGCAATAGTGTGCATAATATATGTGAATATAATATAATGATAGTTTGCTGTAATAGACTAACACAGCTGACCCTTGCGAAATTGTTATGACATTGCTGAGAAATTAAATTAACAAAAGCATTGTCTTGCATGTTGTCATATTGTGATGTCTGTCGGTATAGAGAAAGGTGTTTAGGGTGTGTATGAATGTATTAATTTGACTTTCTCTCAGATCTAGGACTCGAGGCAGCAAATGTTTCACTAAAAAAATGGCAGACTACATAACTTATGTAATAGATAAGAAATAAATGTATTTTGTCTTCTCCAGCTCTTGCATTAGAATTCAATTTAATCCCTCAACAAGCTTGAAGGAAGTTAGTTCACCTTTATAAGCATCATGGGGAAGAGATAGAGCTCCTGGCAGCATTCCTATAATGCTGATCCTCTTTGTTTTAACTTTCCCCTCCCTTGTCTTCTCAGGCTGCTTTCCTTTGATGTTAAGCCAGGCAGGAAGGGAAAGGGACAGCAGTGCTGGAAAGTGAAGCAAAGGCCTCACTGCCATACATTGCCATATAATCCAGATTATCAAATCAATTTATTTATTTATTTATTTACACCATTTCTACCCCACCCTTCTCAGCCCCGAGAACACAGGCAGCTATTCAATGCCACAATATCAGTAACACAATGTAAAATCATAATATATAGCAAATTTAAAACAGTAACATTAATTATAATACACATAATCACATAGCCATATAATCACAAAATCACATAGTCGTTTCCAGTCCATATTATCTGCTTTGAACTGGGTTATATGAGTCTATGCTGCCATCTAATCCAGTTCAAAGCAAATAATCTGGGTTTTATATGGCAGTGTAGAAGGACCCCAAACTACAACTCCCAGGATTCCATAGTGTTCAGTCATGGAAATTAAAGTGGTGTCAAACTGTATTCATTCTATAGTCTAGAGATGCACCCAAGGAGGTAGCAAAACTCGGTTGCTGCCTTCCATTTTCACCTATTCTTGTAAAAACTAAACTGATCCATTTTCAAAAGTAGATTAAACAGAAAAGAAAACACAAGTATTACCACCTGGACTTTCTAGCCGATAGTTGTTGCGTCTAAACTGATTGTCGTTGCTTTGAATATGAAGGAGCAACTGCATATTGTTTTTTTCATGTTAATTCTTCCAGAATGGGAAAGTTACTGTCCAGTATGTTCTTCTAGTGTGTATCGATACATCTGTGAAAATGATTACCATATATACTCATGTGTAAGTCAACTTCATATATATGTCGAGGGTGGGTTTTGTAGCCAAAATTACGAATTTTGATAAGACTCATGGTGAGAATCATTTAGCACTTTGATAGGACTCATACATTGTATATTAAAATGTATGGGTAAACATATTTTAAAAATATTTTTTAAAAATGTATATTAAATATAGGGCAAAATATTTATCTTTAATTAGAGATTTGAATTAAAGATAACAATATTAAAGCTTATTTTTCAGCGATTCATAGTGATTCTATGTATTTGTAAACCAATTGCATAGTTCAACCATCCCAAATGATAAAATTATGGTAAGAAATAGCTTGTCACTTGGTATACAGTAGTCACTTCCTGCTGTTGAGTTGCCAAAAGAGCAGTAGTACATGTTTTTCCAGTTACCATGTTGTGTTGTCACTGACAAAAAGGAAGTTGTCTTTGGAAGGCTAGGGTCAAATGTCAGTTCCTTCTCACATTTGCATTCCAAGGGATGGTGACTGGGCAGCTCTTTCTAGAGTTATTTAGAAATGTATGTAATCATGTACATGTATGCATGCAAACTTGTATTGACTCACATATTTATTTAAAGTATTCTGATTGTGATTTCCCACACTAGAGCAAACAAAGTTCTGTATAATACAATGTAGGAAAACATTTTAAAGCAGATTAAAACCAATATTAAAAACCAGTGGCCAGATAATGTAATACAATTTAAGCTCCTATCAGCTCAACTGGGTTGAAGCTACACGGAGTTTCCTAGGGTGGTAGTTCTACAACGGAAGTGCTGCTACAAAGATCATATATTTACCAATCTAGGGTGCGTCTACACTGTAGAATTAATTAAATATAACACCCTTTTACCTGCCATGTCTCAGTGCTATGGAATCCTGGGTGTTGTAGTTTGGTGAGGTACCAGCACATTTTTGAAAGAGAAGGCCAAGGACCTTGTAGAATTACAACTCCCAAGATTCCATAGCATTGAACCATGGCCGTTAAAAGAGTGTCCCTGGACTCTTTGTATGGTAGATCACAAAATAGGACCTCTGCAGATGATGTCATATTTCAGTACACATTCTACACATTGACTAGTGTCCAGCATGAGTACAAAATCAAACTTACAGTTGATCTGGTTACTATGTGTGCAATTCAAGGGCTTGGATGGCTGTGTTCAGTGAAGCTTTACAACACATGTAAACAGATGAATGCCTAATACTATGCTTCACAGCTAAGGTGAAGGTTAGAAATTGGAATTCTACAGCATATGTAGACCCACATTCTCTAGACATGCCTTAAAAGAATGTTCAACTTTGAATGCTCACAGCTGTGCCATTGATGTGTGCACTTCTCACACTTAGGTTTTCTTTGCTAATTTGACATTACAAAGAAAACCCTAACATGCTGATATGTAAAAACATCAAAGAATGCTGCAGCTGAAGATGTCTTATTGAAATTGGAACATGTTCATAGAGCTTGTACATGACCTCCCAAGAAACCTCATGATTTGGATTTAATCCATTTGTAGGACATTTTATTGTA